AAAACCTCCGCCATTTTGAATTTTTCGGTACTTTTAAAAATACTAAGGCTTTTTTATTTATGCACCTATAGCATTAAATTTTAAACTGCTTATATTTCAGTATATATTAAAACTTTTGTCACGACAACTTTTTGAAATAATTACTAGTAAGAATTTTACAAGGTCTAAAAAATTGTACCCTTTTTAGTATTCAAAAGTTTCAAAATTTGCATATTAATTACCAAATACTTTTTTTTCTATGAAAGCAATCACAATTCCCTCGTGACAAAAGTTGTATTTTTGCATTATGAACAATTACTGAAAATATGGTTGTCATTGTTTAATAAATAAAAAAGAAGTAAGCTTTTTAGTGTTAAAAACATGCGAACTGAGAAAAACAGCCAAAAGTAACGAAAACTAGGTCAGGAAAGTACCATATCTGTGTAAACTGCAAAGCCGATTGTAAGCTTTTGGTGTTTCCGAGATGTAGGAAATTAAGTTTATTAGATACATGAGAAATCCAGCTTTCCAATGATGTCAAATACAATATAATGACGGATATAAAAAATTTCATAGAGAGCTTGTAAGATTGGGAAAAACTGATTATTTTTTAATTAATAGGGTCATAAAAATCGTAATTCAAACACATAAAATATTTTTTTCTCTTTAAAGTTTTTATTTTCTATATACAAAAATGGACAAAGTATCCAAAAGTGCAAGAAACCGATCATGACGAAAAATAAGAAATTTTGTGATTTTTTTTCCGCGCATATCCCCTTAAAATTGTAAAAAAGAATTGCAAAAGTAAATTAAATATATTTGATTTATACTGAAAACTATATAATAATAAATATAAACAATAATCACTCGCTATTCTATTAGAATGTTAAGTTACTCCCTGTTTCAATGGACTTCCTATTTAATTGTCCACCCCGAACAGTGTTTCTTCCAGACTTTTTTTTCTTAAAAAAAAAAGGGGGGGGGGGGGCGGATACAATTAAAAGTATGTATTTTCTGTATAAATTCCTTTTCGTTCGGTGGGCGGTAGACCTTCTTCGGTGGGTGGGGGGGGGGGGGGGGGTTCCCGAAGTAATGCCTTGAAGAAACTCTGATCCCGAATTGTTTCGAAAAAAAAAAAAACTTTATTGAAGATACGGATAGCGGTAATTTATTTAATTTCGAAAAATCTGAAAAAAATATCGTGATGAAACCAATGCAACTATTAACAAGAATTACTTCAGCATTAAAATAAACAAAATGAAGGATGGTTTCACTGAGAGATTTGAGCAAATCAAAACAAATGCAAGTACTCTGACGTTCGGAGTAGATCCTTTCAACACAAAAACAAATGAGATTAACTTTGAGCTGTTTGGAATTGATGCTGGTTCTATATAAATGTAGTTGCTGGATTTGAAAACGACAGATTTGTGGAACGGTTAATTCATAAAGTGAAATAGGGGAAATAATCACTCTCTTAATATAAATATGTATATATCTATACATTTAATTATAAATGTCAAAACAAATAAATAATTACTTTAGAATATAATGAAATTGTTTAACACTATTCGTGTTTACAAAATGTTTTTATCTATAATCAGAATTTAATATATCGTCATCATAAATGCTAAATTATTACAACATAATGAAAGTTTTTAATTTCTCCCTTTGATTATTATATATGCAATTGATGTTCATTGTTCATGTCTTTGATGCTGTGTAAAATCTATCAAATATATTATTATTACTGATTTAAATGTTTAAAACCATTGAATTAATAAAAAAAACTGTTTGAGGACTGTATAGATATAGATGTTTGAAAGGGAAGAATGTTTGCTTTGATGTGTCTCATTGTAATAACATAACTTTTCCGACTGCTTAAAATTTGTATAATTTTAATTCTCGGTAATCCCAATTTTTTTTTCACCTCTACTTAAAACCCAAATTCCACCCCCCCCACCCCCCTTTCCCTCAGCCCACCACGCACGCCGAGAAAAAAAAATCCCTTGAATCATCATTTAATTACACATTTGCATTTTCAGTTTCAGGTTGGTTTTTAATTTTTATTTTTTCTTTATATTTAGACGTTTTGTATTAGATCTATGTATAAGTAAACCATCTTAAATGAATGAAAGCAGGCTACAAGTAAGGAAGAAATTTTACTATTGTAAATCTGTATCAGTCCTCACAAGCCGATGATGAAAACTGTAATACGAAAGTGAACACACAACTGACGCTATAAATTACGTGTCTGAGGCAAAAAAAAAAAATCGGTTTTTTAGTTCAGATCATATATTTTAAATAACTACCGCTTCTTTGTGTTCTTTAAAGATCATTTTTTTTAACACAGTGATAGGTATGGGTTAGATCACTGTATTGCTCACACACCTTTTTACTGGTAATTGCAAAAATAATATTCACAGAGTTTACGTTTAAAAAGCTAATTTTCTGGCGGCATGGTACTTTGGTACATCTTTACGCGTTTTTCTACATGTACTTAACAGATCAGTTCGGGGCGGGTTGGGGGGGGGGGGGGTTCAACTTCATTTCACCACCGTCCGTTCACTTTAGGTCAATTATCCAACCCAGTGTATACCTAGGTGTGACATTAATGTCGCTCTACACAAGTGTGGTGGAGAGGTGTGTGTGTGGGGGGGGGGGGGGGGAGATAACCAACTCAGAGTGAACAGCGTCAGTTTTTAGATGACTGTTCTAAACATACATATATATTACACAAATATATATTACTAGCCGTCCCGGCCAGGCCCTGCTCTGGCTTCTGTGAAAAAACTTTCTGTTAAAGACCATTACCTGTGTGTTTAGTAATCATCATAAACCCGGCATTGCCCACCCAAACCACAACCAACCAAAACAACAAAACGCAAACATAACGCTAACACAATTACAAATACAAACGAAAACAAAAACCTAACAACAAACCCAACCACAACCACAAACACCAATACAAACACAAAGAAAAAACAAACAAAAAAGCAAACGAAAACAAAAACCTAACAACAAACCCAACCACAAACACCAATACCAACAAAAAAAAAACAAAAAACGAAAAAGCAAACGAAAACAAACCAAATCCAAACGCAAAACCAACCAAAAACACAAATACAAACCCAAACAAAAAAACACAAACAAAAACGAAAAAAGAAAGAACGAAAACAAACCAAATCCAAACGCAAAACCAACCAAAAACACAAATACAAACCCAAACAAAAAAAAACACAAACAAAAACGAAAAAAGAAAGAACAAAAACGAACCAAATCAAAACGCAACCACTAACGCAAACCGACCTAAACACAAAGAAAACACTAACGCGAACATAAACGCCCGGGGCAGAATCGCCTGTTTTAGCTTAATAAACGACTATAGTACCCCAACTTATTCATAGTTTTTGCACTCACTTAAACGAACGCGCCTGTTTCAATTTAATGAACAATTATAATACTCCAAGCTTATCCGTAAAATACCTACAACATTTGCACTTGATCAATCCCCGCTAATTATGTAAATATTTTTTTTCCCAACACCAAAACAAAGTAATTAAAAAGTAAATGCTTTTCAACTAATGCAATGGTTTTGTAAAGGGAAGTAATTGTGTTTTGCCTAATTTATCAAAGGGAAGTAAGCGCTATAGGACTAAATAAAGACATAATTAGAATTTTTGTAAAAGATGATATTTTTTTAAAACTTGTGTTTAATGAACATGCCGACAATTATTACTATAATTTGAAAAATGAAAATTATTTCCCAACACTTTTAATAATAATTTTTTAACTCATAAATTTAGACAAACGCGCACGATAATTTTCTAACACTTAAATCCATCGATAACCAGCGACAAACAAAAATATGCGTTACAGAATTGAGCTTTATATATTAGATAGAAATAGATTTAAATAAGTAGCAATGGTATTATGACAATATTTTTTACAGAGGGGTCCATGGGGGAGGGGGGGGGGTTGTAACTGTTTCATATAATTTGTAATCGTAATCACTATCGCCCAAACTATAAGAATACTACTACTTCATCGTGATGACGTTGTTGGCCTTGTCAAAATGTCCCCCACCACTACGCAGTTTGTTCATAAGTAAATTTAAATAGAGGTGCCACATCAGTTGTATTTGTTTCTGTATTGTAATTTTTAAAAAACTAATCACACGATTCAAACTGTATATACAAAGTAATTATGTATGAAGTTTTATGTATAACATTTTCTAATTCAATTATTCGTAAGCAAATACATTATACAGCTGCCTTAAACCTAACACCCCTTTTGCCAAGTGGTACTACCGTCGTAGAGGTTTTCTAAACATTGCAATGCATCGTAATGGTTATTTTTAGAATGGCAAACTGATGCAGCTGTTAATACATGTTGTAAACGTAGACAATACTAGACTAGTACAATAATGCTTAATTGCTGCATGAAAAGAAATCTTGTGATTTATAAAAATTTATAAAAAATATTTGTTTAAACAAATATCATTGTTTAATACTTTGAGTTTAAAAAGTTTCCAAAAAGGCGCCACTTTGCTGAAAATGGCCGCTCCCCATGCTCCCCCCCCCCTGCGTACGCTACTGTCCCGCTGGTATAACTCTGGGGGTCGTCGGGGTACAAAGCTGCCAAGCCACGACAAGGCCCTAGGTATGCTCATTAACATAAAGTAAAATTATTGTTTAATATTTTTACATAGCAGTCTATATAATTATAACATATTCTTTACAACATCATCATTATATCACCAACTATGCAAATTTTAAAATATACAAATTTACAAAGTCAAAATTGAAAAATAATATTATCATGCTATTCTTCAAATTTGAATTTTATAGTCAATAAGAGATTAAAAAATATTATTTTTTGTATTAATAAAATTGTTTTATTTAAAATGTGTAAAGAAATAGTTAATAAAACATGTATTTTCAGTTTTTAGTGCATCATAAAGAAGTATTAAAATGATCTAGTTGCAGAAAAAGTGGGAATTGCATTACTAAAAAACAACTTACTGTGACTGTTTCAGAAGCAAAAGAATATTTTAAAGCTTCTCCAGCATCATGTATAAGTTGAGCGTTTCCATGATAAATGGATTTATTGCTCTCTGCAGTTCTTTTTAGTCGATCTACAGTGTTTGAGAGTTCTTCAGCTGTTAATACTTTTACTTTATTGCTATGTCCAAAACTGTAGCCTCCATATCTTGAAAAATAAAGCAACACTTTAACTTGCTAAAACGGTTGGCATACCAACAAGCATGTTATGAACAGGAGAAGAGTAACCTAAGGTTCAAAAGCTAGATCATCACATTTTTAATGATACAAAAGATTAGAGATTTGCCAGCTGAAGCTTGATTCAGCCTGCCAAACAGAAACATGGTATAAATACATTTAATTTTATTCCTCCACAAGTCTCACCACAATATTTGGAATGGAGTACACACAGTCGAGTAAAGGCGATGGTTAAGGCTATATTTATTTAGTAAATGCTGTTGTGTTAAAATAAAGATACACTGTGAACAACTTGTTTGACATTGTAATAATTATTCACATGGACCTGATCAGTCAGTGTGCAAAGCAATGCAGCAGATTTTAAGGCTGGCCAAAGAAACTGAAGCAACTGGTAAATGGATGGACCATTGTTTTGTGTTTATGCTTAACTTCAAAGCAAAACATACACAGGCCTATTACTATTACAGCAACTAATGATACTGAACACATAACTAAAACCAAATTATTAATTAAAACTATCAATACATAATAAAATACGGTTTTGTTTGGTTTTTTTTTTTAATGATTTTTTTTTCTTCTTTTCATATAAGGTGAAGGATGTATGATTGTATGTGTGTGTGTGGGGGGGGGGGGGTGTCCATGAGGGTTCATGTCATGGGGTTTATGTACACTGTACAGGGTATTGTCTAGAAAGTTTTCAACAGTGCACCAAATATTTCTAAAGCAAGACAAAAACCATCATAATCTTCTATTACTCCTGGCACAATATGGGCTACCAACAACAGCTTTTAAGAGTTCACTGTCCTGTGTCATACTTTCCAACTGGTTACAAACCAAAGTGTGACCTATCCTGATGTTATCTGTGTGAAGTTGGCTTTGTCAAATATTTTGGACAAGCTCTTTTATGTTTGTTTTGAGGGTTCCGTTATATGACTTGGCTGATTATATTGGTGTGCAGTTTAGGCAGTGTGTTTTATCCATCCCCCTATTTTCTCCTTCTGATTTCTTCTTCACTAGGTGGGCAGGTATTTTCAAGGTATTCTTGTTGTATCTGGGCAATTAACCTGGAGAACTCTTCTAAGGTAGCTGCTTATGAGTCTCATTTCTGAACAGCAAGAAAAAAGTGACCCAAAAAAACCACGTAAACTAAAAAAGAACATGACACATGGATTACTACTGAAAACAATTGCATAAGCTCAGAATCAGTTTTTCCCTGAAAGCCTTAGTCAGCTGCCTCTTTCTCAGCGGAACAACAAACTAATCTAACTTAGTACTGACCTTCTTTTTTGGTATTTGCTGTAGGTTTTTACCAGCCAATCAGACAGATTCAGATTTGTCGTGTTATAAAGATAATCTTTTGTCCACAATTTTATTTTTGGTGGCTCTGGGCCTCCAGCTCCTGAAATTGTTAATAACAGTTTGAACACCTTGAGAATCTTAATGTAACCTGCAGGAAATTTATTTAAGTTAGATAAATTAACAACACCTTCTGGACAACTTTGAAAGCCAGTTTTACAAGAGCATGCTGGGCTACCATTCATATTCTCCTTCAGATGACTTCCATGCCATTCCATCTTAGGCAATGGAATACAAGGTTTATTCCTTGAAAAATTAAAATAGTTGAAGAACAACAATACAAAAAACACCAACTCTTTAGAGATATTAAATAAAATGATTACTGTGTTATATTAAAGTGTATAATAGATTGACGACAGAAGCCTGTGGTTGTATATAACACATTTAATGGGTCTAACTACCACGATGGTAATACACAGAGAGGACGGGGGGGGGAAGTACACAAGGGACATCACTCAAGATAACAATATTATAAATATATCTAATACAGAAGAGTGAGTTCCCTTGACCTCACAATTATTTCAATCTATTACATCCCTTTACCCTTAGAACACAATAACACATCTCTCAATAGAACAATTGATAGTATCCTAAAATCACCAATTATATTGTAACATGAACACTATGGTAGATTACATCCTTACAAACAATGCACAATATGCTACAACATAATCAAAATACAAAACAATAATGTCAAAGTCCTTTTGACCTTTAGAATCATAGGTCTAACTTATTTGGGACTTTGATTGTCCTGCTTGACCTTCTCAGTGGCTTCTGATTTGGTGACTCAAGATTCTGACCATCTGGATTCTCTATCTCAGGAGGTCTAGGATTTAAATCATTAACTCCAGAATTTACATTTTCTGACTCCAGACAACTTGGTTCACTCATATCAACAGAACTTGGTTGTGGAACAAACTGATTTGGTGTGAACTGTTCAGATTTGGTGGGATTGACAGATTCACACTTATTATCTGCACAAGTTATTTTTAACTTTATAAGACACAGGTCCTGTACATTGAACAATTTGACCTGGTATCCATTTTTCCTTTCTCCCATAATTTCTTAGATACACATTCTCATTAACACCAAATTCTCTTTCAATGAATGTTTTGTCATGATTTAATGGAACTATTTTTGAATTGGCATCAGAAAGTATTAAATGGCAAAAATCTTTTTCTCTTTTCTTTTGATGTTACCCTTTTAGTTTCTGTAAGTGCTAATGATGTTAGCAAGGTTGTTTGATGATCACATTCCTTCTTACTTAAAGCATTTGAAATTGCCATATCACCATAATCATTTATTAAGTTACAAATACTTTGTTTAGGTAGCTCTGACTGATAATGGACTGCATTTTCTCCATCTTTTATAATATCTTCACAAAGGTTTTTATTTCTTATTTTATATGGCCTTAAGTCATCATTCACAGACTTTTCAGGCCAACCATTCTTACAGTACTCATATACTTTTATTAAGCACTTATCTTTTTGTGTTTCTCTTTTAATATCATTCACATTTATATTGGAGTTATCCATGATAGTGAAGAGAACAAATACATCTTCTGGTACATAGCTCAGGCTTTGGTTTTTTAAAGGTAATCTACTAAGACTATCTGCACTATTCTCAGATCCAGGTTTGTATTTCAATTCATAATTGTATGCAGTTAGTGTGATAGCCCATCTTTGAATTCTTGGTGAGGCATGCTCAGGTAGGGTTTTGTTTTCTCCAAATAAACCTAGCAATGGTTTATGATCTGTAAAGATGGTGAACTTCCTACCAAACAGAAACTTATGAAATTTCTTAACACCAAAAATGATGCCTAAGCCTTCCCTATCTAACTGAGAATAATTTTTCTCAGCCTGGTTCAAAGATCTACTGGCAAAAGCAATGGGTCTGTCACCCTTCTCATCCATGTGGGACAAGACTGCTCCTACACCATCTGGTGAAGCATCACATGTTAATATAAGTCTTTTCCCTGGGTCATAGTGAGTTAGTAAGGTGTCAGCAGACAAAGCCTCTTTTGCTGTATTAAAAGCAGTTTCTTGTTGTTTACCCCAGTGCCAAGTTGCATTTTTCTGTAGCAGCTTGTACAGTGGTGATAGTTTACCAGACAGATTTCCTATGAACTTTGCATAGTAATTTATCAAGCCCAAAAAAGCTCTTAGTTGTTGGGTATTTTCAGGTTTGGGTGCTTCTTTAATGGCTTTTGTTTTCTCAGGTTGAGGTCTGATGCCTTGCTTGCTTAATATATAACCAAGAAAACTAATTTCTGTCAGCATGAATTGACATTTATCTTTGTTTATCTTTAAACCTTTTTCACCAACAATTTTCAATACTTTATCAAGTGTTTTAAGATGTTCAGTGTCATTCTTACCAGTTATGTACACATTGTCAAAGTACACACAAACATTTGGAATATCCTTAAAAATACTGTCCATGACAGCTTGGAAAATTCCAGGGCTAGATGATATGCCAAAACATAGTCTTTCATATTGGTAGAGTCCTTTATGTGTGTTTATTGTCGTATAGACTTTTGAATCTGGATGCAGTTCTAGTTGAGTGTAAGCATGACTAAAGTCTAATTCAGTGAATTTGTCTCCTCCTGCCAAATTCAAAGAAATTTCCTCAATGTTAGGTATAGGGTACCTATTTAGCTCTATTTGCTTATTCAGTGTAGTTTTGTAGTCTCCACAAATTCTTATAGAACCATCCTTCTTTAACACTGGCACAATGGGTGTCGCCCAATCGGAATAGTCTACCTTCTTTATAATGCCATTAGATTCCAATCTACTTAGCTCATTTTCAATTTTATTCCTCATTGCATAAGGTGGAACTCTAGCTTTGCAGTATCTTGGATTTGTACCTTTAATGCTTAACTTCACTGTTCTATCATTTAGTAATCCAGAGTTACCAAAAACACATTTATTTTCAGATATTACTTTATCTAGTGAAGTAAGACTAGATTCTTTTACATTCTTCAATGAACAAATACTCTCCCAATTTAACTTAAGATCACTTAACCAGTTCCTACCTAGTAATGGCGGTCCATTTCCTTCAACCACAAGAAGAGGAAGTTTAACACTTTGACCATTATAACTTACATGAACCATACACTCTCCTATTACCGGAACATTGTCACCAGTGTATGTTGTTAGACACTTGTGACACGGCTGTAGAGGCACTGATCCTCCTGTGACAGCGTCAAACTCTTTCTTTGTTATGACTGTTAGAGATGCTCCAGTGTCAAGTTGGAAGCTGATGCTCTTACCGTTGATATTAACTTGTACATTGATGGGAGCATGACTTATTGATTTAACAGAGAACAGGTTGAAATCCGGCTGCGAATCAGTTTGAGCATTTTCACAGGTAGAGTGGTTCATTGGTTGGGTTAGGTAGTCTTGGTGAGAGTTAACATAGTGCTGCCTTTGGTTGCGGTAATGTCTTGACTGGCTAGATTTAGCAACAGACGAAGACTTTGCAAAGCAGGCCTTGGCAATGTGACCTTGCTTACCGCACTTATAACAAGTTGCAGACTTGAACTTGCACCGATGAGATGCATGGGGACCTTTGCATCGATGACATTTTTGATAATTATTACTAGATTTAGATCTAGGATTTGAACGAGCAGGCTGTTTAGCATAAGTTGGAATGCTCTGATGAGGTTGATGTTTATTGACTAACCTGCTGTTTACTGCATGGATCTCTGAAGGTGCTAAAGATCTCGCCGCATCAGATGACTGCTGGAATGACATTGCAAGTTGTATTGCTTTTTCTAATGTTAGATCTGACTCGAGCAGCAACTTTCTTTGAATATCAGGGCTGTTTACACCTGTCACAAACTTTTCACATAGTCTGTCAGACAGCGTATCGCCGAATTCACAAAATCTACTTAAATGACGTAAAGCAGCAACATATTCTGATATTGACTCGTTTGGTTGCCGAGTCCTACTGTCAAATCTAGCTCGACATAAAAACTTTGATGGGGTAGGCGCATGGTGGTCTGTTAGCAATTTGCTCAGCTCGTTAAAGCTCTTGGTATCTGGACTAGCTGGTGCGCATAAGTCCTTTAGTAGCCTGAATTGTTGAGGCCCTATGACTGTTAACAAAACAGCTCTCTTTTTGGCTTCTATCGTCACGTCGTTAGCTTCTAGGTAAAAGCTTAACCTCTCTAGGTAATCTTGAATGATTTCATCATTCGCATCAAATTCTTTTATTTGGCCATACAGCGCCATAATTCTAGAAATAATTAGCTAATAAGCTCTAGCAAACCTCTTTTTTGCGTAAGTAGGTGCTCTTTCTAGTGGATGTTTATCCTTCGTCGCCAGTTATAATAGATTGACGACAGAAGCCTGTGGTTGTATATAACACATTTAATGGGTCTAACTACCACGATGGTAATACACAGAGAGGACGGGGGGAAGTACACAAGGGACATCACTCAAGATAACAATATTATAAATATATCTAATACAGAAGAGTGAGTTCCCTTGACCTCACAATTATTTCAATCTATTACAAAGTGCATAGGACAAATAATCACCATAACAGTAAAAATTACTTTATCTGATAAATACTTGAATTCATGCATCTTGTACCATAGAACGGTTCATGTAACAGATTTTCACCCAATGTAGTGGTTAATAAATTAGTTGGATCCTCATTGCTAAAATGTGATAATAAACATATATAAAGTTCAGGAAAAATAGGTAAAAAAGAATTTGATTTTATTGTCTACAGGCTATCCAAATTAATAATTTCATGTTCATACCTGTAAAATGAGTATAAAAAATCATCTCCTTTAATGGGTTCATACATCCAAGGCTGAAGTTCTAAAGGTTCAGATTCAAATTGGGGTGGAAGTAGCAGAGAAAAAAACATGGCCAAACAGACAAATGCAGCAGGCAAAATGATCTGGGAACATGAATTTTACAAGAGATAGATACTTTTTGTAGAATTATGCTGTTTTGGATTTTAAAAGCATGATCTCACACTAATATAATATAATGTATGAACTAATTAGCTGTTGTAAAAAGTGTGATTGAACTCCCATAAACTTTCTCATATATTCTTATGTTACAGTAAGGGTTGAAATGGCTCTTGCACTGCAATAGGGCTAGATAAATATAGAAGTTTGTGGCATATTTTAAGAAAGTACATAAATGCAAAAAAGCTCTTAAAAGTTGCCTTATGATAATATGATATAAAACTATACAATTGTGAAGGCTTTTGAAAAATCTGAAATAGAGTTGCTAGTGGCGTCGCTAATTCGGGTGTCACCAGTGCGGAACTTCATTGTGTCACCCACCCTCCCAAAGAAACAATATATATATATTGTGTGTGTAGGCCTATAATTTAAATATATGCCGCAAACAACTATATGTATAAGCTTTAATGACTGCAGACGTAATAGTAACGATGTTTATCTAGTCTTTTAATAATACAGTTGGATGTAGCAATGTTTTCTCTATAGTTACCATGTTTAGGTCATGGTGTCACCCCAAACTCTTGTAATAATTGTTGATTTGTATTTAAAAGACTATTTAACTTTGATTAATCAATAATGGAACTGGCAAAAAAAAACATTTTTCTTCTGTACATTTTGCAATTTTTTGCCTTGGTGTCACTCCCTAAATGGTGTCACCCGGTGCGGTCTGCACCTCCTGCTACACCCTCTAAAGTAGGTCTACTCCTTCCAGTTAGTGCAATTACTCAAAAGTTGAAAGAAATCTAAATCTATGTACCAGTGAAATAGAGCAAAGTACAACTTCCTATTAATGGAAATATTTGCAAATGGATAGAAACGTAAATGCTTATAAATCTATGTGAAATTTCATTCACCTAACTTAAATGGTCCTCAGGCTATCCACTTTTGTTCAAAAGTTAATTAAAAAAACTATAAACTGGATATAGCCTATTTATGAAATTTCATTAACTAATTGAAATGGTACTCAAGTTATTGTGTTCACATACACACACACAGACACAATTGCAAAATTAAATTTTTCCAACTCAGGTAGGAGTAAAATGTCAAAATTATGTCAAAAAATCTTATTTCAATTTTTCTGCATGATAACAACTATTCTTCTTTATGAGAAAATAAAAACACAAATCAAATTTACCAGTTTAATTTTGGTGCACAAAATTTGAAGATTAAAATACATGTTTTGTTAACATAGTAATAAGTTAGTTATTGAAAGTTTTAATTTTTTTTATTTTAATGATTTATTGTCTGTCTGTAGTGCAATTTTAATTTACTAAGTTTTCCATACCTCACTAATAAAACCCTTTCTACTGCGACGGGCATGATGAAAACGTTTTAAAAAAATAGCAATCAACTGTCTGAGAATTAATGTATTCCCTGTGATCTTGACTTCTCCATTGAATTTCCTGTCAGTTTGGACTTCTTGAGCATCTGAAGTTTCTATGTGTAAAAATTTAATTCAGGCTAAAAATTGTATCTTAATAAATTAACATAATCTAAAAAAATTATAAATTTTTCTTTTTAAAAATTTATGTTCAAAGCAGGGGCGGAACTACAGTGCCGCCAGACCCCGCAATACAGGGGGGCCCACGCCGTTGGGGGCCTACAGCCAACCATAATCAATTTTTTTATTGTTAAAAAATTTAATTTTCTTGCACTTTTTATCAAGCTGGCTTGTATAGTCGTATATGTGGTAGTTTTGACAAACTAGCGCCCCAACAACTAAGATCCAAGAAATAAAGTGCCGATATTGTTTACATTTAATAACCACTGTTCTAGAAAACAAGGGAAACGTCTCAAATAATTACACTATTGATAGTGTGTTTTATATATATATATGGGGGGGGCGAAATTTTTTTTTTGCAGGGTGGCCCTTTTTTTCTAGTTCCGCCACTGATTCAAAGGTTCTAATAAGAAATTAGGTTCTAATAAGAAACGGTATGCTATTCTTAGTTAGTGGAAACATTTTTTTTTTACTAGGCTTAACTCTGAACAAGGACAGCCCACCTTCTGATGTGGACTTTTACTTTTATACTTAAGCTTAACTCTGAGCACCTGCTGGTCTGGTTTATTTTTTTACTAGGCTTAACTCTGAACAAGGACAGTCCACCCTCTTGTCTGGACTTTTATCCAAATTAATTTTTTTATATAGGCCTACAAAAGATTAAGTTTTATTGTTTAATTAATCAATTATTTAATTGTGAAGAGTAAGCTTATATTTTATAAAAATATTGGGGTAAAAATAGTACCATTCATATCTTTAACTATTTTCTTGTCCTGATCAAAAACATTATTCTGCTGAGCAACTCTTAAAAATACCTGAAAGTAAAATATCAAAATTTTAAAATTCTTTTAAATTAAAACTGTGCAGAAAAATGTTTGAAAGGTATTGATAAATATGAGAGCAAGGATGAATAATTGGAATCATTGCGTAATAATAATTTGTGCTCAAATGTAAAGGCTGTATAAAATTGTAAAAGCACCTCTTCCAAACTAGTATCAGAAATTCCATAACTTGAAATTCCAAGTTCAAGATGATATTCCTGTAGAGCAGCACACAGTGTTTTGCATTTTTTAATGTGATTGTCACCCTCTGGCAGCCTGAAGCAGACTTCCAAGTTGTTATCCTTTACCAGCAGAGCATCAGGAAAATATGTTTGAATGAAGGAAATCAACTGCGGCAAGTAGTACCCTATATGGTTAAAGTTTAAAAGTCAAAATTATATTAATAAGAAGTTACAACTATTATAATTCTAATTTAAGTTACAGAATTTGTATTTAAATTATATTTTAACAAATTTTTTTAAAGTTTTAGGCCTTTTACTAAATATAAAAAATAAAATCAATTAAAGTTCATATAAGAAATCTGTATTTTCAACATTTTGTTACAAAAGCCACTGTTTTGCCATAAAATTAAAATATTGGCCAATATAGTGATGATTTACCTAAAATTTCTTTACGAAAGTTATTTGTTAAACTGATCTGATCCAATTTTAACAATTAACAGGACTTAACAAAATTTTTATTTAAAAAAAGGCAACACCAAGACTTCCTTAATATTGTAGGCCTATAAACTATGATAACACTAGATCTAAGTAACTTTACCGTTTACTTTAATTTTAGGTTTTAAACCTGGTGCTATTGCACTATCTACAGAACTGCCAATAAAAGAAACATCTGACACCAGTGACTGAAATTAAAAAGAATAATTAATGGTTCCTTTGTCTAAACACTTCTCATTATTTAAAACTATAAAAAAAAGGGATGCTATTAGTAAATGGTTAGTGAGGAATAAAGGATATTATTTTATTACTCAACTGATAAAAAGACATGCTTTCTTTAAATTGTTTAAATTAGTTAGCTCTGTACATACTATTTCAAAATATATAAATCATTCATTTTTGTGTTTTTTTTCTTTCAAATACATTGCATTCTTTAAAAAATGGATTAGCTATTCTTAGATAGTGAATCGATGTGATGATTTTCTTAGTAAAGATGCAATTTTAGTGTAAGTAGTTACCCGTGACTTCTTTAAAGAACTACTAACAGGTATAGATGAGGTTTCCAAACTAAGATGATCATTATTTAAGCTCTGTGCCCCATCATTTTCTTGAGGGACTAAAGTTAAATAGTATCCACTTCCAAATTTTTTTTTTAAAAACAAACTGGTGCCAACAGTACAAAGTTTTCCTTGAGAAATGATTGCTATTCTGTCACCTAGTACATCAGCTTCATCCATATGGTGAGTGGACAAGATGATTGTACGACCTGTGCAGCCAGAAAAATATTATTACACTGCAGCTATTTTCCAGAATATTCAAAAATAGGTGATGAATAGCAGAAGGTTGGTTCATTTTATTTTTAGCTTTTGGATTTGTGTGTAGTAAGTACAAAATAATTTCCAACCTGTGTTATTGTGCACATTTCTTGTCTGTGGTATTGTGTGTAGTATGTACAAACATATTTCTATTCTGTAGTTTGGTGTGTATTATGTACAAACATATTTCTAGCCTGTAGTTTGGTGTGTAGTATGTATAAACATTTCTAGCCTGTAATTTGGGGTGTAGAAAGTACAATACAAACCTTTGCGAAACTTAAGCAACAACTCCCAGATGGCTCTGCGAGCATAAGGATCAACACCTGCAGTTGGTTCATCAAGAATAACTGTTTTAGAGCCCCCAACAAATGCAATTGCCACAGAAAGTTTACGTTTCATTCCACCTTTAAAAAGATTTTTTTATCTATAATAATATTTGCAAAATAGATTAATTAGATCTAGAATATGATATTTAGAATAATTTTATATAACAGAACCCCACTCTGATTGATTATAATAAATCAAAATTTATTTGAATTTTTTGTTTCAAAAGTCAAGAGCTAAAAGTAAGAAACTCATATCTACCTTATAAAAAAAAAACTTAATGACTGTTTATACCAGATAAATATTTTGACATTTCCTTTTGTTTTTTAACCAGTCCAACATCTTGGATCATCTTCTCCATTTCTTCCTTGACTTGAACATCACTTCTTCCTTTGAGTCGAGCAAAAAACCAGATGTGCTCTTCAACTGTTAGACTACAACACACTCATTGTCTTCAGCCATTAAACACTGGAAATTCTTTAGTGTCAAATAGTGCATTAGACCTACATGTAAATTAACATATGTTGTAGATAATATAAGCCAAGTAGCAAGTACTTACAGGTCAAAGAGCACATTATGTTGTGGGCACATGCCCAATCCACACCTAACTTTATCTGCATCTGTCAAAATGTTGTGTCCATAAATGTAAACTGATCCAGATGTTTGTGGGAAAAGTCCAGTTAAGATTGACCTAAGTTTTATAAACATAGTATGATTACTAAATGACATAACATTTAAAACAGAAAATATAACTATACATTTGGAATTTTATTTGAGTGCTGTAATAAGATCTGCCTAGCATAAGACAAACTTGTTCATAAAGACATTCACCAAGTATCTTTAATTTGAAAAATATCTAGTAACTTACATGGTTGTTGTTTTACCCGCACCATTGTGGCCCAGAAATGAGGTGATCTGACCTTCATAGAAATTAAGAGTAAGTCCATCTACAGCAATCTTGTCGCCTTTGTTGTAAATTTTACGCAAGTTTTTTACTGCCACCCCTATGGGACGACCAGTTGGGTCTTTTTCAAAATTGTCATTGCTATCTAGGTCAAAATGTTATAAATAAATTGAAAATATGCTTCAAAAAGTAAAAAAACATCTTATTAAACTAAACAAAATTATTTGATAAGCAATAAAAAAATAAATTTAATTATAAATTATAACTTTATGTTTTCTTTTAACATATTTTAAGTTATATGCCTTCACAGTGTATAATTATCTTATACCTACTAATTTCCCATGAAATTAAAATAGCAGGCATTAATTTATATTTTTTAATATTTAAAAAATCAATAAAAATACAAATTTGTTTTGTGTTTTTTTAAATATATTTTTTTTATTATAATAAAAGATCTTAATTAATTAAAATCATTTTGTTTACAAATAACCATTCTTTTCCTATTTTCTTTTAGAGATCTTTAGCAATCATCATCACAGATCTGGTGTCACATATTCTTGTATCACCTAACCAGCCTATCAAGTGGTGCTTCAAGACATTTTTAACTATGATTCAATTATTAACTGTTACTAGTTATTAAGCCTGAACCAATTGCACATGATTTAATGTTCTCTTTAAAATTGGAGTTTTCAAAATTAGGTGTCATCCAGTGTAGTCAGCATCACAATCCCATTACATTGCTGTTCATACCACAACCCCGGGGAATTTAGCAAGGAAAAAATATCATTAGGTTTGTATATTGTTTGTACCAAGGCATCACTACTAATTTTCTTCTTCTTAAGTCTAAATTTTAGTGTTGGAAGGGATTCCCTCTAACACAATTAAGTATTACTTGTGAACTTGTTAAGCTATAGAGACTGTTGACTTTGATTCAGCCTGCTTTTCTTTTTGGATTTGTTTCCATAGCCTTTGTCCAACCAAAAGCAGTTTTTTTCATTTATATCTCAGAAGAATAAAAACCTTAAATTAATTGTACTTGTTCAACATGTGATTGAACCAATTGCAACTTTTAAAGCCAGCTTCCCCTAAAATTAGTGATCACGTTTTACCCAGTTGCTCTATGTACCACAACAAAGTAATGGTATGCCAAACTATAAACAAAAAAAAAATTACAAATTACAAGTTAAGCCATCAAGTGACATATCAGTGTCGGGTTCATCCATTTGCTCATGTTTAGTTCCTTGCCAATAAGATCTCTGTATTAAGAAATACCATTTTCTTGGAATGCCATACTGACCTAGATTAAAATGTTTTTATATTATTCCATTAGTGAATTTACAGGATAAAAATGTACTGAATTTGAAAATCAATAATTTAGTTATTTCTATTGCATGTAGGCCTATATGTTTTTTATCCATTTACATCTGATGTTAACTTTGATAAAATAATAAAATTATTTTCATAATACAAATAATTTTAAATCTTACCAGGAAAAACAGCCTCAATGTACCAGGTGAGGAAGAGGTAAATGACAGAGTCTAAATATAGCATGCCAATACAGGTTTTAAGATTGAAGGTATCGTCCACCATTGGACTCTCTCTAATATTGTGCCACTGTGCTCCTATTGCTTGCTCTTCATATTGAGAAAAATAGCTGCATGCATAACCCATGGCAATGTTAGAGGAAAGGCTCTGGAAAAGATGTATTCAATTTGTTTAATGCTCTGAATAAATTGTCATACTTTTTTTGTGTATAATTTTTTAAAAATATGAATTCTTTCCCCTTTTTAAGGGAATATAACTAAAAAATACTGCAAGCTATGCCCACTTAGCTAATCACTATTTAATTAATAAAATTTCATTGAATCTGGCTAAAAATTACGTAAATTATCACATTTTTTAAAAAGTCTTTTAAAAGTACTAATAACAGATAAAATTGAGTTTCAAAAATAACTTTTAAAATACAAAACTGTGAGTGTGACACCACAGTGTTTGTGGAAAAAAATTGAAAAAAAAAAGCTATAGAGAAAAAATATTGTTACACATAAATTTCCTTTTTAAAATATCCTCCAAGTCAAATGTAGTATGAACAAGTCTAGTATATAGACCTCAATCTATCTCTTTTGTAAAATGTTAACAAACCGTATATTCAAGAATAATATACATCTATAAAAAGAAAATTTAGACTCACAGCTAAAGTCCGTGCATTAGTGGTGATGACATCTTCAAACTGCACCAGCTGGGTGTAGGGCAGATATAATACAAAATAGATGAAACCCCCACAAACAGCCGCCAGGTTGGCTTTGTTAAAGAAAACAGATATAAGAAAACACTGGCTAATAGTTGAACATGTGAAGCCTATCATGAAGACAAGTATCACAGAAGGATCGGAGTATTCCAATATTTTGCCTGCCTGAAACAATTACTTGTTTATAGTTCTTTAACCATAGCTGTATGACTAATCAAGATTAAAAAATAAATGCTTTAATTAAACAATTTTTATTTTAAAAACTAAGCTTATTGTTCCATATTTAATTTACCTTTAGTAAAGTGACAAATAGAATAACAGTCATAAACATCATCGAAAAAGCATCAATGAACCAAGCAAGCCAATGAACACCATTGCTCAGACCCATAATTTTCATAATTTCCTTTAGTCTCTCCTCTTTTTCGTACACAATGCCTATTGAAGTTGTTTGATTATACATTTAAAATTTATGTATAGACTACAAAACTTTTTAATTGATAAAAATGAATGATTTCTTTGTTGCTCATTTTTTATTTATTTTAATTATTGCTTAAAAGTAAAGTTCACTTTTGAATCTGAGGGCAGATGAAGTTGAGTTTTTCTGTTTCTTGGTCAAAGCATATGAAGAGGTGATGTGGTAACCCTATGGCCAGCAGCATTTACCTATCCCAATGAGATTCAGGTACTCATCATAGCTAGAAAGCTCAGGTACATGTTTGGAAAACATTTGTATGTGTATCTCTTGTAAGAGGAATCTTTTGTAAAACTAGAGAAAGCTCTACTTAATGTAAAAGTATTTCTAAATAAATAATAGAATAATTTACCACCTTTAACTGTCATGGCTACAGTATAAATCCATGATATCACCATAAACAATGGCAAACTTCGTGATATTGCAAATGTGAATCTAGCAATAAAAAAGATATAACTGAGAAAAAAATGTTTTAACCATTGAAATGTCTTCAGTATTGATATTATTAACAAGATGGCATGCAAATTCTATTTGTAGATGCTATTCTACATAACAGTTTTAAAAAGCATCTACTCTATGGAATATATCTGCAGGTTTTGGTGTTAGGACTAATACAATTGTACAACATTAGCATTTGAATCAGCTTTTTTAAAGTATTACCTCTACCAAGAAAAAGACAAACCTGTCATCTATGTAGCAACCATATGGTGCTTGTTTGGTATAAACTCCAGGTTCTTGTGTGACATTGGTGTGTAATCTTATGATGGCATGATCAATCATGTCTTGAATGTATATGAATCCATAGATCCAGTACTTTAAGGAATTGAAACCATCACGATTACCTGGTCTCCAGTACCTGATAGATAATTGAGTAAATCATACCAGCACATGGGGTGTTTTAGTCAACTTTTAGGAGCAGTTCATTGAAAAATTAACAGTGCACAGTGATAATGGGCATACTACAAGAATAGGAAAATGCGTACCTAGCTTTGAAGAAATATTAAAAAGTACAATATAAATATCACAAAACTGCAAAGATTTGTTAAACTTTGAAAGTCTACCTGTTTATTCCCCAAAAAAATATACATTTATATATATTGTATATATATATATATATATATATTGTATATATATATATATATATATATATATATATATATATATATATATATATATATATATATATATATATATATATATATATATATATATATATATATATATATATATATATATATATATATATAGGTTCCCAGAAAGAACCGCAACGGAAAAAAGCGCAACGGAAAAAAGCGCAACGGAAAAAAGCGCAAATCAAAAAGCGCAACGGAAATAAGCGCACACGGAAAAAAGCGCAAAGAGAAAAAAGCGCACACAGAAAAAAGCGCAAAGAGAAAAAAGCGCAAACGGAAAAAAGCGCAAAGAGAAAAAAGCGCACACAGAAAAAAGCGCAAACAGAAAAAAGCGCAAATCAAAAAGCGCAACGGAAATAAGCGCACACGGAAAAAAGCGCAAAGAGAAAAAAGCGCACACAGAAAAAAGCGCAAAGAGAAAAAAGCGCAAACGGAAAAAAGCGCAAAGAGAAAAAAGCGCACACAGAAAAAAGCGCAAACAGAAAAAAGCGCAAACGGAAAAAAGCGCAAAGAGAAAAAAGCGCACACGGAAAAAAGCGCAAACAGAAAAAAGCGCAAACAGAAAAAAGCGCAAAGAGAAAAAAGCGCACACAGAAAAAAGCGCAAACAGAAAAAAGCGCAAACGGAAAAAAGCGCAAAGAGAAAAAAGCGCAAACGGAAAAAAGCGCAAACAGAAAAAAGCGCACACGGAAAAAAGCGCAAACGGAAAAAAGCGCAAACGGAAAAAAGCGCAAACAGAAAAAAGCGCAAACTGAAAAAAGCGCAAACAGAAAAAAGCGCACACAGAAAAAAGCGCAAACAGAAAAAAGCGCAAACGGAAAAAAGCGCAAACAGAAAAAAGCGCACACAGAAAAAAGCGCAAACGGAAAAAAGCGCAAACAGAAACAGAAAAATGCGCAACCAGAAAAACACAACGAAAAATGTGCAAAAGAGAAATTTAGCACAAAGACCATATGGACTAGATGACACATTTATACATGACTGTTAGGGCTGCTGTGAGAGTGTCGTGTTTGATCACGTGATCTACTACCATTTAAAGCGTACCACTACCATCTGCATTCCCATCACCACGATACAGGCGATAATCACTTTACACAATGCCTATTATTTTCTTGGTCAATAATTATTCAACTACTATTCTCGTATAAACATAAAACTATCGACATTACACGAAGTATCTTTCACATTCTCCCTAGTCCGAACTACCTAGCTTGCATACTATAACAACCCGTTCCTATGGCAAAACTTCACTTTTATATAAAGTATGAGGGGGGGTGGATATCAAAGTTTAAGTTTAACCCCCCCCCCCATAGACCCCTCGGTATATATATATATATATATATATATATATATATATATATATATATATATATATATATATATAATATATATATATATATATATTATATATATATATATATATACATATATATATATAATATACATATATATATATACATATATATATATATATATATATATATATATATATATATATATATATATAATATATATATATATATATACATATATATATATATACATATATATATATATACATATTATATATATATATATATATATATATATATATATATATATATATATATATATATATATATATATATATAATATATATATATATATATATATATATATATATATACATATATATATATATATATATATATATATATATATATATATATATATATATATATATATATATACATACATATATATATATATATATATATAAAGTATGAGGGGGGTGGATATCAAAGTTTAAGGGGGGGGGGGGGGTACAATCGAAAGTTTGAGGGGGGGAAAAAGTCTGGAAGAAACACTGCATGTAGCCTGATTTTATTATAAAACTTCATCTCTCTTTGTTTCTTTATAAAAAGGTTATGGAAGGTTTTTAAGGTATTTTACTGAAATGTTTACCGGACGAATGCAAAATGATATAAACAACCATAGCTCTTCTGTTATATAGGCTACATGCAGTGTTTCTTCCAGACTTTCCCCCCCCCCCCCCTCAAACTGTCGATTGTACCCCCCCCCCCCCCCAAACTTTCGATTTGCATATATATATATATATATATATATATATATATATATATATTATATATATATATATATATATATATATATATATATATACCGAGGGGTCTATGGGATGGGGGGGGGGGGGTTATGACCCTCCATAACCCCCCCCCCCCTGCCTACGCCACTGCATATAAGTATTCGCATAGATTTAGAGTAGCGTCCCTTTTGTTTACATGTTTTCATTACCCTTTCAATTACCCTTCAAACAAAAGTCTATTTTAGTTATATTAAGATTAAAGAATGTAAATAAATAGTACGAGCCGGCCCGCGGCATAACATACGCCGCTATTTAGTTGTTTCTAATTTTCAATAATTCATAATTTGTGAATTCGACAGTACCAACGCTGACACTGAAAATATTTCTTTAAAACACTATAAGTAGCTCGTTAAGGACCATAACCCCCCCCCCCCCATTCCTTCCCCCCCCTCCCCCTACGTTTAAAATCGTTGGCTCTGCTTGTAAACATTTAGAGTGAACACAGCTCACTAAAACCATGTAGGGGTGGGGAGGTAGAGAGAGCGTTTGCAGCTTGTTTTCTAACGGCTCGAAGAGGAGAATTATATATATAGATACACAATTCTGTAGAATAGGAACGATTGGGAGGGAAGTGACATTTAGCGCAGTAAATTTAGAGGTTAGGTAGGGTATAATAAATGGTGGGGTTAGGAAAGTTAAGGGGGTCCATTCTCTAATAGGTAATCTATGTCTCTTTCGTACTTTCGTGTTGGTTTATTGTCGAACCTGTCCCTCACCTCACATCACAACAGTTGTGTGACGCTTAACGTGTAATGTTAAAATAAATAGCATGTAATTGAGTTAGTTCGAAGTGAGTTTTCATACAAGCCCAACGCACTAATTAAGGTTGTCGCAAAATGTAACATATATGTCAATGATGTCAATGAATTCTCATTAAAAAAAAGATGTCTAGTACAGTTTACGAAACTTACGAACTTCGCCGATACTTTTTTGGTGAGTAGTTTGGTAAGTATGTAGGCGGGTAGGCGGCTAGGTGGGTAAGTGGGTAAGTGGGTAGGTGGGTAGGTGGGTAGGTAGGTAGGTAGGTGGGTAGGTGGGTAGGTGGGTAGTAGGTAGGTGCGTCATGATGTGAAAAAATATTAAATACAAAATTGTTATTTTGGTGCGAATGAATGTTGTTACGGAGGTATGACGAATGCATGTTTGATGACGCGGATGAAAGAGAGTGAAGTTTTGTCATAGGAACGGGTTGTTATAGTATGCAAGCTAGGTAGTTCGGACTAGGGAGAATGTGAAAGATACTTCGTGTAATGTCGATAGTTTTATGTTTATACGTGAATAGTAGTTGAATAATTATTGACCAAGAAAATAATAGGCATTGTGTAAAGTGATTATCGCCTGTATCGTGGTGATGGGAATGCAGATGGTAGTGGTACGCTTCAAATGGTAGTAGATCACGTGATCAAATACGACACTCTCACAGCAGCCCTAACAGTCATGTATAAATGTGTCATCTAGTCCATATGGTCTTTGTGCTAAATTTCTCTTTTGCACATTTTTCGTTGTGTTTTTTTCTGGTTGCGCATTTTTCTGTTTCTGTTTGCGCTTTTTTCCGTTTGCGCTTTTTTCTGTGTGCGCTTTTTTCTGTTTGCGCTTTTTTCCGTTTGCGCTTTTTTCTGTTTGCGCTTTTTTCTGTGTGCGCTTTTTTCTCTTTGCGCTTTTTTCCGTTTGCGCTTTTTTCTGTTTGCGCTTTTTTCCGTTTGCGCTTTTTTCCGTTTGCGCTTTTTTCCGTGTGCGCTTTTTTCTGTTTGCGCTTTTTTCCGTTTGCGCTTTTTTCTCTTTGCGCTTTTTTCCGTTTGCGCTTTTTTCTGTTTGCGCTTTTTTCTGTGTGCGCTTTTTTCTCTTTGCGCTTTTTTCTGTTTGCGCTTTTTTCTGTTTGCGCTTTTTTCCGTGTGCGCTTTTTTCTCTTTGCGCTTTTTTCCGTTTGCGCTTTTTTCTGTTTGCGCTTTTTTCTGTGTGCGCTTTTTTCTCTTTGCGCTTTTTTCCGTTTGCGCTTTTTTCTCTTTGCGCTTTTTTCTGTGTGCGCTTTTTTCTCTTTGCGCTTTTTTCCGTGTGCGCTTATTTCCGTTGCGCTTTTTGATTTGCGCTTTTTTCCGTTGCGCTTTTTTCCGTTGCGGTTCTTTCCGGCCACCATATATATATATATATATATATATATATATATATATATATATATATATATATATATATATATATATATATATATACATTATTACAAACAGCCAAACCTACTTATCCATAATTCTGTCAGTAGAATCAACACTATAGGGACTCATGCGTATTCTGTACTTAACAAGTGTAGGTATCTCTTCAGAATCATTACTAATGTTGTCAAATACTATGGCTGGAATAAAAAATCATAACTATGCATCAAACAATCTTAGGTTTATATTCTTTTGAAAAATCTGTGCAATCAGAAAGAGTGAGTGGAATAAACTAATATCAAGTGGAATTGACCACCCCTTTAAAAAATTACCATAACAATATATAGACCATAATTTTAAATTATTCTTTTTTTATATGTGTATGTTCTCTGCAATGATATTAATGTCCCCTTTTTGTTTACCAAGCATTACAAGACAAGTTTTCAGATAATAAATTTTCATGAGACTTTTTTCCATATGGTTTAGTAAAAAGAGAGAGATTTAGATTCTTTATAAGTAAAATAATAAAATAAATGTTACTATTTATATTTATTTGGGAAAATAAAGCAGAAGTCCCAAAAAAATGTATGCAAAATACTTCAACATCCATTTTAGAATGTTTAACAATAATGGAAGCCTTTTGGGGGATCTGGGCTTGTATGACTTGTTCATCATTTATCAATAGGCTTATCACTGATGGTCATGTCAGTTGACCTTATGGCTTTTGTCAATATGTCCGTTGGTTGAAGCTGTTGAACATTTATGTTCTAACTAACAAACCCTCCCCCCCCCCCCCCCCGCGCGTTGCCGCGTGACCTTTTCTAAAAATGAGTTATTTAAATGTAAACAATGCCTGCGCTTGGATCATAAATATCAGGACACGGGTTTACCTACACTACCGCATGAAAACCTTGAGTGTACATTAATCACTCACCGAAATAATATGGTAGAACACACTTCGGTGATCGCCCATGTGTCAGAGACGTAGAGGCCCGCTCTCAGGAGCCCCCCCCCCCCCCGATTACACTACCGCATAGGCGCGGAGTACGACCCCTGGCTCCTTAAAATAGTATCCTGTTAACAATGATGAAGGTTGCGTCATTCACTAAAGTGACACAAATGAACAGGATTTGTTATTTAATTAGTAAAAAAATTATTTGACGCGTTTTAAACATCAGTGTGACTGATGCAATATGTTAGCGTTACTAATGGTCTATTCTTAGATGCTCGATCTCAATTTCTATTTGGATTATCTAAAAATAGATGCTAATTGCATCATTCGCAAAGTGACGAAACTGTTTGGATTTTTTACGGACAAAAAGAAACACCCCAGTTAATAATCTAACCTTGGTTAGTTTTTCTTATTATTAAAATAAAACGTATTACATGGCCCTCAGCGGCCCATGTGAGCCTTTGGGGGCCGAAACAGACATTTTTATTTGCAGCCTAATAGCACCCTACCAGGGCGCCAGAGGACACGCCTGATTCAATTTAGTAAGCGTTTGTAACGCCCCATCCTATCCATTGTCTATCACACTGTTTAGACCGAACGTATTCACCATAGCGCTCACGGGAAAGGCCAGGGCGCCAAATCGCATCCTGTCGGGGGGCCGCCCATGATGAACGTTGTGAGACCGCAATCGACTTTTATTTTTATATACCATATATATAGAGAAAACAAATCGCGCCCTGCCAAGGCGCCACCCCTGCGAATTTGAAAATGTTTTTAGCGCAGAAACCTCTCCAGGAATATTCTCAACATCCTCCCAAAGATCATGGCGATAGTGTGAACGGTGTCACCGCAATTAATTTTTATTATTTTTATATACCGTATATAGAGAAAAAACGCACCCTCGCGTGGCGCCGCCCTTGCGAAATTAAAAATGATTTTTTACTGAACCCTTCCCTAGAGTTTTATAATGAACTCCCCAAAGTTTTATGCCTATCGGATGAACGGTGTCACTGCAATTCATTCACTTGTATTATTTTTATATACCGCATATTGAGGGAAATCGCACCCTCCCGTAGCGCCGCCCTTGCCAAATTAAGAAATATTTTTTAACAGAACACTTTCCTAAAGTCTCCTGGCTATCGGGTGAACGCTGTCAAACCAAAATCGACTTTTATTTTCATATATCGTATAAAGAGAAAAAACAAATTGCACCCTGCCGGGGCGCCACCCCTGCGAATTTGAAAATGTTTTAGCGCAGAAGCCTCCCCAGGAATATTCTCAACAACTTCCCAAAGTTTCACGGCGATGTGATAAGAGGTGTGGTAATGCATAAAAGACACACACACACGAACACACATACATTGCTTTATATATATATAGATAGATAGATAATGTGTTTTTATATTAATAATGTGAATTTACATTTGTTGTGTGAATTTGAAAATGTGTTTGCAAAATGAATTGAATAGCAATGCAGCATAATAAATTGTGAAATATAAAAGATTTTGTTGTTATTTTGCTGTCAAAAAGTTTAGAATACACTTTTGAAATATCCAAATATATTAGTTGTAAATTTGTTCATAATACTGTACACCAAAATGATTACTATTTATAGCCATAGTTATCTACACCTGTCCTTTAAAGGAAGCAACAGGCTACTCAACATAGTTAAAGACCATTTATAAAAATTTGGGTCTGTTAAAAACACCTAATTTTGGGGCATTAAAATTAGTGTTTTTAACAGATCCACAATTTGAAAATTAATAATAAATTAGTTTGAAGATATGAGCTTAAAATTTTTAGCTGAGTACCCCAAAATATGGTAGAAGATACCAAATTCATTGTTTATTGTAAAATATAATATTTTATGAATGCTGAGGGAGGGTGGGAGTGGGGGTATTTGTATGAGGGGCTGTTCGCGTATTGTCATGGTGTAGATAGATAAAAAAAATAAGACTACACTGGTAGAGACTAATAAGGACGGTGTAAACTTGACGGTAGACGATTTGTTTTGAGAGTATGTGTTACATGGGTGTTAAATTTGGGAAAAAACGTCCCATGTGCAGTTGTAGGGAGGGACTGACATAGCGAAGTGGATGGTTAGACACGGACCAATGTAGAAGTATTTTTTAAAGTATTGACCTTTTGACCGAGTGGCTTAGAGATAAAAAATGTTAAACATCTCTAGTTCAAGGCACATTCTCACCCGTATTAATTGCCCTACATGAATTGCCAAACAGGCCAAGGGAGAAGAAGCCTATAAATAAAAGGCGTTACCGCTGTCCCGCATGGTAATACTATAATAGATTGACGATAGAAGCATGTGGTTGTATATAACGTTTATTGGGTCTAACTACATGTTGATAACCAGAGAGGACGGAAGTAAGTACAATCACAAGGGACATCACTCAAGATAACAATATAAATATAATACTAATACAGAAGAGTGAGTTCCCTTGACCTCACAATTATCTCAATCTATTACAAATACAAAACCGGATGAGACTCTATTGCAGGGCATGATGTCATCAACCCCCCCCTCTTCCCCCCCTCCCCCCTAACACACCCGACATGTCCCCTCCCCGCCCCGAAGTTTCACCCATTAAAACATTTGAGTTGTGAATTCCTTGGAATTTAGCCGTAGTCCATGTTTTCGTCTTGATAAGTAAAAATTTTTTTAGGGGGGAGGCTCCGGTAAAAAAAAAACTTTTTTAATACTCGTTAGACAACAGTTATTTCTTTACAGGTTTAATAAAATACACCCGCATATGCATTTCCACTAAAATAATTGGTGGATAAATCTTGGTAACTATGACAACGGCGGCCATTTTGAAAAATTAACCCCCTCGTAGGTTTTCCAACATTTATAAAATATTATATTTTATGCCCAATAAATAATGAATTCATATTCTTCGTCCATATTTTGGGGTACTCAGCTAAAAATTTTAAGTGTATATCTTCTTCAAAATAATTTATTATTAATAGATTCAAGTGCATTCAGAGGTTTCCAAATGTACACATTGCTCTTCGAATTTACCTGTGGAGAGCGCTCATTTTTCAAAATGAAAAAGATTAAAAGCGATCTTAGAAGCACTATGGGACAGCAGAGACTTAGTATGCTCTCACTTATGAGCATAGAAAATGACATTGTAAGCTCACTGAATTATACAGAACCAATAGAAGAGTTTGCTATCAGGAAAGCTCGAAAATGTTCCCTATAAAAGTTACTTGGTCTTTAGTTCTAAGTAAAAAGAAATGCAATAAATGTATGTATTCATAATTTATTTTGCAATAGTAAATAAACAATGGTTACTTTAAATGCTCTCATTTTTCAATGTAATTTAACATTACATTAAATGTAAAAAATTTTGTCTATGCTATAACTTCTGTTAACCTTTAGTTTATTCTATTCGACCTTTATTTCTGGGAAGGTCACTGTTTGTTTTGTGACAAGTCATTATATAAACTACATGTATATATATATATATATATATATATATATATATATATATATATATATATATATATATATATATATATATATATATATTAGGGGGGCCCCGTTGAAGTTTAATCCACCCCTGCTACAAAGGGGTTGATTTTTCAAGATGGCCATCGTCATAGTTACCAAGATTTCGCACATTTTTTTTTTGCGTGGAAACACATATGCAGATGTACCTTAAAAAAGGTATAGATAAATAATATTATTGTTTCCTAATGAGTATTAAAATTATTTTTTTACCTGAGCCTACCCACTTATAAAAACAATAGTTTTAAACTGGAATTTCAATTATTATAAGATGCTTTGTTATTAAAAGTATCATTTCAAATGCAAGCCTCTTAGCATAAAGTGAATATAAAAAATTAAAATCCTAAAGAATGTGCATTCAAAGAATAATGGAAATACAGACAGGTTTATTCTGATAATTTACATCTTTGCTCTTTTTTTCTTATCCAATTGTATCAAAATATAGTTTATATTTCTGCCTACCTGACCAAAATGTTTTGTTCTGAATGTGAGATAAGCTGGCATCAATTAGTGATTTAGTATCTGAATATCCAATAAATTTATCCAGGCGGGTACACTGAAATGATAAATTGTTTTGCTCTATTGACACTGTCAACCTTTTTTAAAAACTGTTTTGGAAAGTATCAAATTGAAAGCCTATAACAACTAGTAATTTATACTACAACTTTAATTATTGAAATTAAGGCTAAGCATCCACCTAGGTAACTGGGGCATCGCTGGGCTCTTTCAGAAGCCACTGCTTACACTAACCCAGGGGCATTGGGTATAGTCCCATGTTCAGTTTACTCTTGGAATGCATTGAGCCATTGTAGAGTGCTATTTAAAATGAATGGAGGGGCTTCACAGTGGAGAACAGTCTGCTGCAGGTCACCCGGCCATGGGGACGCCAGCAGACGCACCTGATTTCATCTATTGAACTATTATAGCAACACATCATATCCATAGCGTATCATACTCTTTAAACAAACGTGCTCAGTGGGAAGCTGAAGTGTCTAAACGCAGCCTATTGGTGCGCACCCCCCTTTGAACTTTTTTTTTTACAGGTATTTACCCAGAAATATTTTCAACAACTTCCCACCAAAGTTTCATGCCAAACAGATGGAAAATGTAGTGATGCATAAGGGAGAAACTAACACAAATACAGACAAACTTTCATTTTTATATATTTAGATTGATTTGTATTGGCTCCTTTGTCAACACACACACACAGAGCCTATAATTAATTTTCTAAAATCATTAACCTTTATATTTCTAGGTGCACCTGAATATAATAAAGTCAAAGTGAAAAGTGAAGAAGGTGGATTAAGAATTAAGACGTTTCCAGCATAGGGCTGGAATAAATAAATCAGCTAACCTTAAAATATGGCTTCATTCTTGTTATCAGTTTGTCGGTTCTATTTAAAGCTTCTAACATTTTATCTGTGTCATTTAGTTGATTCTTGGCAATCATGTGAGCTATCTCTTCACAGCTAGTGTTTTTTGAAGCCATTAAACTTGGTAAAGAATTTGGAATGGGAGATAACAATTTGCTGAAGTTCTTAAACATAGCCTCTGTGTTTTTGCATTCAGGGCTATAAATAAACTTCTGTCAAAGTCAGAGAATACAATTTTAACATGTTTAAACAATGTAAGTGAAATGTATTTTAAAAAATTAATTTAAATCTCAGTGTTCAATGCACAAAATAATTCATGATAGGCCTAAGTATCTTTATTTTTTATAATGTGTATTAATAGTCAATGTTTCGACTTCAAATTTAAAAAAAAAAATTGAATAGGTTTTATATAACTTCAATATGAGCTTACAAAGTTTACAAGCTATAAAGTTACAAGTTTGGCACCAGCTATAAGGTTACAAGTTTGGCACCAGTTTTACAACTGTTACCCCATAGATACATGTTTAGAATGTTAAGAAATCTGTAACTCAGTGAGTTATCCAGGGGCGGAACTATAAATGCAAAAAGACATAAAAATAAACATAACACCAGAATCCATTACATATACAAAGCTTTGATATTTCATATTCTTTTGACCGACTTGAAGTTAAGAAATATTACAGTCGACAAAAAGTAAAACACTAATGCACTCACACACATGAGATGTTGATGTAATTTGTTTTAATTGACAAAAAACAAAGACATTTTTTTCAAAACCCTATCAGGCCGGAAATGAGTATCCTATGTTCATATTTTTTGTTTAGACGTGAAGCTGTTTAATTCAGGACATTCTATGGATTTAAAATATGGATGCACTTAACTATTAGATGCTAGTGTTTACTAATTCTTTAAAATCTATCGAATAGGATTAATGATAGGGTCGTATTACTAAAGCTTATCTGGACTATCACGTCAAAATTATGAATCGACAAATTCAAAAGATTGTAGGAAAAAAAGTTAATAAAAAGTCTAGTGATAATTTAAGCGCGATTTCCTTATGTTATCTAAAAATAGATATAATGCTGGGGTGCGTTCAAGCTAGGAGAACGATCGGTTTGTAGGTGTTTATGTAATTTAAAAAAAAAAATTGTGACCGAACGAAAGGATATTTTTGAAAACTTTCTTCGTCAACATTGTTCTAAATTATGGCAGAAATCGATTGGTAAATGTTTCAAGTCGCTAAGAGGTCTGGTTGCCGAGATATGGGCCAAAAACTGCATTTTTCGAGGTTTTTGCCTTTTCCGTGAAATCCAGGAAGGAATTCCGGGAATTTTTTTGGCCCACAATCATCCTCGGAACTTGCTTAACATATTTGCTTTTGGAACTAGTCGTTGCTTCGTTGAGGAGGAGATACGACTTAAAGCTGCGGACACACATCCACACATCCATACAGAAATAACGCATTATTAAACGCAATTGCCAGTATGGTAATTGCGCTAAAAAGTCACAGGAAAAAAAAACACAGAAAAAAAGTCACAGGAAAAAAGTCACAGGAAAAAAAGTCACAGGAAAAAAGTCACAAATATATATGTGCATGGAATTTGTTAATATTTTTATGTATTAAAAATATTCTGAGAGTGCCAATTAACTTAGGATTAATTAAATGTAATGTAATGTGTGTAAGTTGTATACGCTTAGTAATTTTTATAATTCATCTAAAAATATTTAGTATGAAGCATGTAGAGTGTAATTATGTTAAAAATAATATTAATAGCATGTAATAGAATGCTCCAAAGTCCACGGTTTTCATCGCGTTTTTTTTAAATACCAACAACTGACTTACTACCCTCAACTCATCGCAACAATAGTTATGCTTAGTTCAACCACCTTTACTGCCCTTATTTATCACGCTCATTACATAACAAAACTTAGGATCAAAACAGAAAGCCGACAAGGTTCAAAGGCTGTCATTGACACAAAACGTGAACAACACACAATGTGTTTGGACAATGCCCACTGAGAGAATAGCCTACGGCAAAATTTGCCTAAATTTCTTTTATAATTAACTTTTCTACCGCGTATTTAACTAAATACGTAACAAAAGTTGAGATTGTTGTGTAAATTATCTTAGAGTATTTTTACTTTCGATTGTTATAAACCATAATGCTTTTAACGCCATAAATAATTTATGCTATAAAAAAATACAACCCACAACAATAAACATACAAAATTTTACAATTCTTAACAAATAAATCAAAATATTTTTAAAAAGATATTTGTGACTTTTTTCTGTGCCTTTATTTCTGTGACTTTTTTCTGTTTTTTTTCCTGTGACTTTTTTTCCGTTCACCATTCAAAATGACCACCAGACAATCCGGGTTACTATGTGGATTAACTCAATTATTTACAGGGAACGAAGGTTAAGGGGGAAGGTTCCGTTAAAAAGAAAACTTTTTTAATACTCGTTAGAAAACAGTTATTTCTTTACAGCTTTATTAAGATACATCCGCATATGCATTTCCACTAAAAAAAATTCTTGGAAAAATCTTGGTAACTATGACAACGGCGGCCATCTTGAAAAATTAACCCCTTCGTAGGTTTTCCACCATCCATAAAATATTATATTTATTTTAAGCCCAATAAATAATGATTTCATAATCTTCTTCCATATTTTGGGGCACTCAGCTAAAAAATTTAAGTGCATATCTTCAAAATAATTTATTATAAATATTCAAAATTTGTGTCCGTTCAAAATTAAGTGTTGAGGGAAACAAGACTTACAAAGAGGTGGAGTTGTAGTTTTAAAAACTGTTCCCCCAAAGCAGTTATCAACCAGATAAGTTGGAAAAGAAACCAAAGCATGTGGCATCAACTACTGCATCACTTGTAGGCATTAAGTCTTTATTAGACTACGTACATTACATTACAACTCCACTAAATTTAGATTGTGTTTCTCCTACACTAAATAAATGTGGGTTTTTAAAAATAACATTTTAACTCTTGTGATTTTTTGAAATAATGAACACATTCTTCCTGTTAATGTTACCACAATACTCTTAGAGTTATTCTATGTCCAAAGAAATTTTTAGCGCAATTTCCATACGAACAATTGCGATTATTAACTCGTCATTTCTGGATGGATGGATGGAAGAATGAATGAATGGATGTGTGTCCGCAGCTTTAAGTCGTATCTCCTCCTCAACGAAGCAATATCGAGGACTAGTTCCAAAAGTAAATATGTTAAGCAAGTTCCAATGATGATTGTGGGCCAAAAAAAATTCCAGGAATTCCTTCCTGGATTTCCCGGAAAAGCAAAAAAAACCTCGAACAAATGCAGTTTTTGCTCCATATCTCGGCAACCAGATCACTTAGCGACTTGAAACATTTACTAATCGATTCCTGCCATAATTTAAACCAATATTGCCGAAGAAAGTTTTCAAAAATATCCTTTCGTTCGTTCACAAAAAAATCAATTACTACTTTTTTAAACTGAGCATCTTGTAGGCCTAGGAAGAACATTTAAACTGAGCATCGTGTAGGTTTTTAGCGCGAAAAAATATCCTTTCGTTCGGTCACAAAAAATTAAAAATTGTTATGAATAACATAAGGAAATTGCGCTTAAATTGTCACTAGACTTTTTATTAACTTGTTTTTTTATGAAAATAAAAATTACCAAAAACGCATTCTTGTCGTTTTCAGTTATTTATTTACCATAGAAAGACTCATTTTAGATGACTGAAAAAAATTGGGCATAGAATCTATATATTACAAACTTTGCAGCAACTTTACTAACTTCTACACTTCTATGTTATTTAAGTTTAGAAAATATAGGTTCTAAAAAATGACACTTTTTGAAAATCAGTTTTTTACCAAATTTTGCTTTTTTAAAAATCTCATAACTTTTTTATTTATTGCAATATTTTTATGAAATGTGTGTCATAGAGCTTACAATTAAACGTTCTTTCAGGTCATAGTCAATACAGACGTCTGCGATCAATAGTTAATTTCAGTTTGGACTACCTACATATAGCTTTATTAAGGTTTCACCAAACTGAATTTATCTTTTACTACACATAAGTACTAAGTGCCACACATAAGTACTACACATACTTATTGTGAATTGATGCCCTGGGTACAAATCCGTTATTGTTACCAAGAGTATTCGCATATTATAATAAACAAATAATGATGGGTCCCAATCATCAATTATTTCTCTTAGCAGAGGCAAAAGCGAGGGCGGGGTGCGGGTCACAATGGGTGACACCATTTAGGGGGGTGACACCAAGGCCAAAAATTGCAAAATTTACAGAAATGCGTTTTTGCCATTCCAATTAACAACTAATAAATTCTAAATAGCCTCTAAATAATAAATCAACAATTATTACTCGAGGTGAGGGTGACACCATGACGTGAACGTGCTAACTATAGAGAAAAGAATGCTACACCCAACTATATTATTAACAGGCTATAGATAAACATTGTTACTATTATGTCTGCAGTGATTAAAGCTTATAAACACACATATACGCATATGTGGCATATATTTAAATTATAGGCCTATGTAGGCCGATACACAAACACACTCATATATATATATATATATATATATATATATATATATATATATATATATATATATATATATATATATATATATATATATATATATATATATATAAATATATATATTAGTGGCGTAGAGAGGTCGAGTGTCACCCGGTGCGGCACTTAATGGTGTCACCCCCCAGAGGCGTAGCGACAAACTTTCAAATTTTCGATTTGCACCACCCTCAAATTTTCGATTTGCACTCCCACCCTCAAACTTTTGATTTGCAACCCCTCAAGTTTTTCTCTATATTTTTTGCTATTTGTTGCCTTGGTGTCACCCCCCTAAATGGTGTCACCCGGTGCGGTCCGCACCCCCCGCACCCATAACTACGCCTCTGATATATATATATATATATATATATATATATATATATATATATATATATATATATATATATATATATATATATATATATGTTCTTTGTAGGGGGTGTGGGGGTGACACAACAAAGTGCTGCACTGGGTGACACCCGACCTAGCGACGCCACTGTCTCTTAGTTCTATAGGAGTTCTGAATATGGCTGTAAATGTGATCAAAAGTTTTGCCAACATTTGGTTTCTCTATTTACTGGCTCATATATAGATGTCCCCCCCCCCCACCCCCGGCCCAACAATATTTATCATTTCACAGCTTTGCAAAGATTGGCAATTAAAATTATTAAATCAACAAATAAATAATATATGATATATAGAAAAATGGTATTTGTTCTTCTAATTTACAAATAAACAGTTAGATGAAATAAAGCAACAAACTGTGAATGGGTCCCAATCTTCCTTAGCAAACTTCATTATCCTTGGAATAGCAGCTTGAATTCCCAGAGTGAGGTTAAAAAAACTTTTTATACTATCAAAAGTTCTGGAAGCCTAAAAACAGTTTTAAAATAAATATATTTTAAGTTAAAAATTACAGTAATTTCAAACCAACCTTTTGTTAAAGTTTTTGCCCAAACATATCATAATGGGAATACTTGATCACTGTTAACAATAATTTTACTCAAGTTTACTTGATATAATATTGTAGAAACTAATTGTACACAAGATTACTTGATTAACAATATAATACTAGAATACCCGTCATCCGTTGGATAACTGTTGGTTTCAGGGGTCATCCATCAAAAAACATCACGTCTGTCACTCAGAGGCATAGCGACCCTTCCCGGCGCCCGGGGACAAACTTTTCGATTTTAACCCCCCCCCCAAGATTTCGATTTTCAAACCCCCCTCAAACTTTTGATGTGCACCCCCCCCCCCCCCCACTCAAACTTTCGATTTGAGCCCCCCTCAACCTTTCAATTTATTTTTCCAAACCATTTTGGCGCCCCAACATATGTCCCCCCCCGCTCCCCTTCCCCCCTCCACCTCCACCCGCCTCCCCTTTCCCCCCCCCCCCCCCCCGCCTCCCCTCCCGCCCCCCCCCTCCTCGCCACGCTACTGCAGTGTCACTTATCGTCACAAAAAACAGACCCCACATTCAAAAATATGTTTCTTATCTTTTAAAAACACCGAAAACACCGATTTCGGACTATCCATTCATATACTGACGTCACAGGTGACCTACTCAACTCTACTTCACCTGCCCAGTGTTCCGCCAAGTGTCAGACAACATGTTTTTATCATTTAAAAAACGATTCCAGCCGAGCATGTCTCTGACCACACTATCCCTTCATATGCTTTGGACAAAGAAACGGATGAACTCTACTTCACCTGCCCAGTATCCTGCCAAGTTCAGATAGGCAACTTTATCATTCACATCTAAAAAAAAAATTGAAAAAAAAATATCATTGACATATTGGTCTAGAACCTGTGCCACCCGCATGAGAGCGGACTACGCTACCAACTTAGCTATTTACTCGTGACGTCACAAATGAATTTTTATACTATACTTTGAGTCTCCTTATGCAACTTGATTTACGCGCATAGATCTAGATCTAAGTCTAGTAGTAGTAACTTTTAAATTACATTTTATCTTAAATTAGCCAAACAAAGATTTATATAAAATAATTAAGGCCTGAAATAGATTCTAGATGTATTAAGGCCTGAAATAGATTCTAGATGTAGAATTTACATTAAGTCTAGATCTAGAATTTACATTGAGTCTAGTGACCTAGATCTAGGCTAGATCTAGATCTAGGCTAGATTCATAACTTTCCTTCGACAGCTGATCTTTAGATCTAGAGAAATTTATTGTAAAACTAAATGAAAAAAGACAGTTGAAAATTGATATAAGTGTTGGAACGTAATAAATACAGCAAACGGACGTATTGTTAAAGTTATGACCGACAGAAAATTAGATTTAGAACGCGTTAAACTTTTGAATGGGAACACAATTTTCTTCGATAGACGCCGCCATTTTATTGTACTAAAGAGTAAACAAAAAACTGTGACGTCACGGTCCCGCCGAGTGTAGTGGTCGTTCTAAACTTTTTTAAAAAAAATAGGGTTACTCTACGTATGAATAAATCAATAAATTAATTAACGTCTTTAAATAAATTTGTGATTAACAGTCTGTCTGCATTAAAAAATTATTCTCTACCTACATACTATTTTACAGCTCTCCAGATAGAGTAGAACATATCACAATACTCGATCGGACAAACAAACAAATAAATATTCAAACATGTAAACAAACTTGACTTTTAGTAGTATATAGATTGTAGAAACTAACCTCTTTGATTATCTTTTGAACAGCTACAGAGTCAGGTGTGAAAGTAATAACACCAATAACAATAGGTTTGATCTGGTTCCAGACAAGTCTTGTAAAAGTGTCAGTTTCAAAGTTAGCAAACAATTCTGCACATTCAGTATCTCAGATAAAAATAAATGGCTAGCTTATTTATTTAGTTAATTGAATAGCTTGTGAGCTAATATACATGTGTTAACATGGCTTTATTCTTTGTTTATAATTTTAACATTGAGCGGGATTTTTTGACGATTTTTACCTCCCCCCTCCCCTCCGTTCCACGTCGTCTTAAAAAGCCAGACCTCCCTAAAATGACGTCACACCTCAGCCTACAACCCCCCCCCCCCCCCCCTCAAAATTGCAGTTTTATTTTTTTTTAAAACATCGATATTTTTCTAAAATCTTGTCTGAACTCTGTCAAAATAGAGTATTTTAATCAATTCCTATTACAATTTATTAAAACAGTTTTCTAAAACGTGAAATAACGTCTAAAATTCGTTTTCTAACATTGCAAAAGTGTGACGTCGCACCATCTTAACCTCCCCCCCCCCCCCTCACCACACACCGTCACAAAATTACGGACCCCCCCTCCCCCCCTACGAGTGTGACGTCATTTATGGACGAGCCCAAACAAGAAAAAACTACAAGGCAGCAGTTGTTTGATTTTGGAGTTGTCTCTCCTAAAGGAACTGCAGTCCCCAGCTATTGAGCTGCCTGGGGGTAGAAACTAAGCACTTTTTGGTTTAGCAAAGTTTTACAAGTATTTACTTCATTGGAGATATGGTCACATGGTGTGCTTAAAATTTAAATTTAATGTGAAAATTACATCTAATAGTAATAGGTTAAAGTAATATTTATTTTAATATGGATAACTGTAATTATTTTAAAATGTTATACTCATTCCAGATTTTTCATGTTGTTCCTTAGCTTTTTTAAGCAGTTGAGCTTTATTTTTGCTTTTTTGCATATTTTGCAAGACTTGCTGATTTTTACTATCAAAATCAAAGATTTTCCTGTTATGCCCACACATCACTTGCCCTATACTTGTGTTGACAGAGTTAAAGGCTTCAATGAGAGACCCAAGGCTTGACATCAATTCACTGAGGCTGGATAAATTACTAAGCTGAAAAAAAAAATTAAACATTAAACCATTTACAAAATAATCATAGTAGCTTGTGTATGGGAGCCAGACGTTTTCCCGAAAGACACTTGCCCGAATGCCGATTGCCCGAAGGCCGATTTCCCGAATGGACACTTCGGGCAAATGTCTTTCGGGCATTTGTCGCATTCGGGCAAGTGTCCATTCGGGCATTTGTCGCATTCGGGCAAGTGTTCGTTCGGGCATTTGTCGCATTCGGGCAATTGTCCATTCGGGCATTTATCGCATTCGGGCAATTGTCCATTCGGGCATTTGTCGCATTCGGGCAAGTGTCTTTCGGGAATTTGTCGTAGACTCCTTGTGTATATTATTTGAAAAATGTTTAGGTTTTAAATATGGAGGGGTAATTGAAGAAAAGCAAAAATGAACAATCAACTGTATGAAATAATAAATGCACAAAACAGTTAAATTAATTCCAATCACAATTTATAAACATAATACTTTTTCCATAATGTTTCTAAGTTTGACCACACTTGTTATAAATGGTTGACGTTCCATGATCTCACTGATCTAAAGGGGAGATAAAAACTCAGTCGAGAAAACCAGAAATAAAATAAGTTATATACTGTGAACTCTATAAGTTATGTGGCCTACTGTGAACTCTATAAGTTATGTGGCCCACTGTGAACTCTATAAGTTATGTGGCCCACTGTGAACTCTATAAGTTATGTGGCCCACTGTGAACTCTATAAGTTATGTGGCCTACTGTGAACTCTATAAGTTATGTGGCCCACTGTGAACTCTATAAGTTATGTGGCCCACTGTGAACTCTATAAGTTATGTGGCCTACTGTGAACTCTATAAGTTATGTGGCCCACTGTGAACTCTATAAGTTATGTGGCCTACTGTGAACTCTATAAGTTATGTGGCCTACTGTGCACTCTATAAGTTATGTGGCCCACTGTGAACTCTATAAGTTATGTGGCCCACTGTGAACTCTATAAGTTATGTGGCCTACTGTGAACTCTATAAGTTATGTGGCCCACTGTGAACTCTATAAGTTATGTGGCCCACTGTGAACTCTATAAGTTATGTGGCCCACAATGAACTCTATATGTGGCCTACTGTGAACTCTATAAGTTATGTGGCCCACTGTGAACTCTATAAGTTATGTGGCCCACTGTGAACTCTATAAGTTATGTGGCCTACTGTGAACTCTATAAGTTATGTGGCCCACTGTGAACTCTATAAGTTATGTGGCCTACTGTGAACTCTATAAGTTATGTGGCCTACTGTGCACTCTATAAGTTATGTGGCCCACTGTGAACTCTATAAGTTATGTGGCCCACTGTGAACTCTATAAGTTATGTGGCCTACTGTGAACTCTATAAGTTATGTGGCCCACTGTGAACTCTATAAGTTATGTGGCCCACTGTGAACTCTATAAGTTATGTGGCCCACAATGAACTCTATATGTGGCCTACTGTGAACTCTATAAGTTATGTGGCCCACTGTGAACTCTATAAGTTATGTGGCCTACTGTGAACTCTATAAGTTATGTGGCCCACTGTGAACTCTATAAGTTATGTGGCCCACTGTGAACATGTGGCCTACTGTGAACTCTATAAGTTATGTGGCCCACTGTGAACTCAATAAGTTATGTGGCCCACTGTGAACTCTATAAGTTATATGGCCCACTGTGAACTCTATAAGTTATGTGGCCTACTGTGAACTCTATAAGTTATGTGGCCCACTGTGAACTCTATAAGTTATGTGGCCCACTGTGAACTCTATAAGTTATGTGGCCCACTGTGAACTCTATAAGTTATGTGGCCCACTGTGAACTCTATAAGTTATGTGGCCCACTGTGAACTCTATAAGTTATGTGGCCCACTGTGAACTCTATAAGCTATGTGGTCTACTGTGAACTTAAAAACAGCTACATCGCTATTGCTATTTAAAAACATAGATTTAAACTTCATTTGCTTTTTTCCTTAAAGCAAATTTGAAAAGACATTTACCATTGTATTTGCTTTTTTGACATTGACAGCATTCAGCACATTACTGACAAAAGCTGTAGCATTTTCATTTGTGAGATTACAAAACTCCGTATTGAATTCCTTGGCTTGAGTTTCATTTTGGAAATAAAGATACTCAGAGATTATCTGAAAGTATGAAACAATCAACAAAAATATGTAACACATCTTTTTAATATGTTCTTTGATTTAAATGAATACTAGCCGTCCCGGCCAGGCCCTGCTCTGGCTTCTGTGAAAAACCTTTCTGTTAAAGACCATTACCTGTGTGTTTAGTAATCATCATAAACCCGGCATTGCACACCCAAACCAAAACCAAAACAACAAAACGCAAACATAACGCTAACACAATTACAAATACAAACGAAAACAAAAACCTAACAACTAACCCAACCACAACCACAAACACCAATACGAACACAAAGAAAAAAACAAACGAAAAAGCAAACGAAAACAAACCAAATCCAAATGCAAAACCAACCACAAACCCAAAGAAAAAAAACACAAACGAAAAAACAAACGAAAACAAACCAAATACAAACGCAAAACCAACCACAAACACAAATACAAACACAAACGCAAATAAAATAAAACACAAACGAAAACGAAAAAAGAAAGAACAAAAACGAACCAAATCAAAACGCAACCACTAACGCAAACCCAACCTAAACACAAAGAAAACACTAACGCGAACATAAACGCACAGTGCTCAGAGTCTAGCCCGGGGCGGAATCGCCTGTTTCAGCTTAATAAACGACTATAGTACCCCAACTTATTCATAGTCTTTTGCACTCACTTTAATGAACGTAGGCGCGAAACCGAACACGGGAGGCCCGGGACCCCAAATAGCACCCTGTCTGGGCGCCAGAGGACGCACCATGACGTCACCGCCTGATTGAACTTAGTAAACGACTATAGTACATAACTTATTCATAGTCTTTTGAACTCACGCGAACGTATATACCATAGCGTACACCGGAAGGCCCGGGGCGCCAAATAGCACCCTGTCGGGGTGCCGGAGGACGCCCGGATTTGATTCACTTAAAGACTATAGTAACCTTTCTTACCCATAGTCTATCGCACTGTTAAAAACAAAACTATGCAGCATAGCGCTCACATGATAGCCTAGGGTGCCAAATCGAACCGTGCAAGGGCGCCGGCGGACGCGCCTGTTTCAATTTAGTGAACAAAAATGATAATACTCCAAGCTTATCCGTAAATGGAAAGAAATAAACATATAGGATTTGTAGGACCTGGCTTATTAAATGTTATTGATTTAAAAAAAAAAAAATATTGAACAGTATGTTCAGTGTATAGAATAAATAAAAGGCAGTGTTAAAAATACCTAACGACATTGCACTTAATCAATCCCCGCTAATTATGTAATTATTTTTTTTTTCTTAACACCAAAAACAAAGTAATAAAATGTAAATTCTTTCTTCTTAAGAATTTTTTTTATTAAAGGGAAGTAACTGTGCAGTCAATACATTTTCGACACAATTTTAGAAATTTTATAAACGTCGATACACTTTTTAAAAATTTTATGTCGCGTTCATAATTGAAAATTATTCTTCTAAGTAAATAGAATGAAAATTATTTTTAAAGACTTTCAATGGTAATTTTTTGACTCGTATATTTAGACTAAGAGCACGATAAAAAATCTAACACTTAAATCCATAGAAGTGTCAACGACAAACTTTTTTGCCACACGTTACAGAACTGAGCTTTATATATTAGATAGTAGACCAGGGGTCTCCAAACTACGGCCCGCGGGCCGGATGCGGCCCGCGAGGTCCTCTCATCCGGCCCGCGGAGATCTTTCGTCCACGGAAAAGATTTTTGTTAGAGGTGGCTGAGAAACTTTGCCCAGAAAATGTAAAACAATTTGAAAATGTAGCTTTGGGTGCAACTAACATTGCCCGCCGTGTTGCAGACATTGGTGAAAACATCGTTACTCAAATAGCGAAAAATGCAAGCAAGTTACGCCATGAGTCGCTGGACAGCTGTTCCACCTCTCAACCGCTTGTGTTTATTAGAGGTGTGAATGAAGACACGAACATTACACAAGAGCTGGCTTCCCTACACAACATATATGCCACTTTTACCGGAGAGGATATATTCAATGAGTTTTTAAAAAAAAATGGTGATTATAACATGGACTGGACTAACCTCATCTGAATGTGGATGGAGAAAGTACATGAGTGGCATAAAGAAAGGCTAAGGCTGCGGTTACACTATACGTCGGCAGTCCGAATTTCTGTTTCTGACAACAAGGCCGAACAACTGGAAAGCAAACAAAAAGTATAACCCAGTTCTTTTGGTTACACTAGAGCCGAACTCATCGCCCGAGTCGTCAGACCACGTCAGGCGCCTGATGATGAACTTAAAATTTTGTTTCTGTTCTGACGGAAAACACATTCTGATGAAAATTTATCTGGCAGGGATAAACAAAAAATAAAATGGAGGACTCCAGTTTGAACAGAAAGTTGTAGTATTTGACACAGAGAAGCTGATTTTTACTTATTCAAGAGAGAAAATTGAAGGTCTGAAATAGCCGATTAACGCGGATGCACAAGTTAAGTAATTTATTTCACTTATTCACTTCATTGATTAATTTTTATCATTCATTCACATTTTTTTTTTGGTTATCGACTCTCACTCAACTCGTAGTAGAATCTAGATTTATTTAAGATTTCTAGAATCTAGATCTAGAAAACTAGATCTAGAAGTCTAGACTATATCTAGATTCTAGATCATAAGATCTTGATCTAGATAACTAGATCTATTAATTCTTTTTTCTAGAGTGAGTCTAGATCTAGAATCTAGATCTTGATTAGAAGTACTGAAGTTAGTAGAATTCAGATCTAGATCTAGATTCTAGAATCTAGATTTTCTAGATCTAGATTCTAGATCTAGATCTAATCCAGAATCTAGGTCTAGGTCTAGATCTAAGTAATAATTAGTAAAATAATTAGGCCTAGTTAGGCCTATTATTAAATAATAGGGCCTAGATCTACTCATTGAATTTAATATTCTCTAACTCAACATAGATTCTAGTACATAAGTACATAAACATTACATCTAGAATCTAGATCTACATCTCTATGACATAGATTAGATCTGTTTTTCTAGTATTCTATGATTCTTTCTAGATCTAGATATATTATCTATAGGACTATTGGTAGATTTATAATATATTATTATTATATATTAGGGCCTATACTATAAAGTATAGTATAATTATTAATAGTATTGGCCTATATTTAAATTCATTCTATTTCCATTGAATCTATTTTGAGATTAATAATTAAATTTATATTAATAGGCCTAAATCTAATCTAAATTAAGAGTATAGATCTAGATTCCTGTACTGTAATGTTACTATATATTACTAGATCTATATAACTGTCTATAGGAATCAAGATCTAGGCTTAGGCCCAGACAATTATGATAGAAAAGTCTGGATCTAGGACTAGACTACTAGATCTAGTAGTAATTAATTAATGAGCTGATTACTTAAGTCACAACAGTCCAAACTATTTTTATCCCCCCTTTTCTATCTAGAAATCTATTTAATTTAGGTATAGCCTGTAGGCCTATATATAAATTATATGTTTCCAACACATGAAAGTTACAATCAGTCTAAACTGATGTTTATATTTAATTCATTTCAGGTGCACAAGCCAAAAACCAAGTGGAAAAACCTGCTTGATACATTTAGAAAGGAGCATATCAAGATTAGCAACAAAAGAGTAACTGGCAGTATAGCACCAAACAAATCATGGACATATTATAATAAATTATCATTTGTGAATGATTGTTTCGCTTCCAAGCAAACGATAAACAGCATACAAGTATTTTCAACTTCAATTCAGTATCGAGTGAAACCATTGTTTAAAAGATATTTTATTTTTGATGACACTGATTCAAATTGTAGTCAAGTTGTGGAAGAAGCAATTGCTAAAGATCCTGACTCAGGATTAATTAATTTTGGGTTATGCCTGAATAAAACAATTAATTGAAAAATGTATGTTGTTTACTGTTTTATTATTTTTTGAGAGGTATTCAAATGCAGGCCTAAATTGTAATGGAGTTTTGCCTATACCAGTAGTTAAAATAATAATTCAATGAGGCCTGTGTCTTATGAGATGTATTTCTGTTAAACATGCTATTTAAACATGTTTTACAGATTTGCTTCATAAGTTAAAAGAATGAATTCTGCTTTTTAAATGATCAAAAACCAATACCATCTTAGTTTGTAACAATCTAACATGTAACTGACATTGAGTTAGAAAATTAAGTCTAACTAGTAGGCCTAACTGGTGGAAATGGTGGAGGCCCTATGTTCTATAAGGAGCAAAGAGGACTAAGTCAAAGTGTCAAGTAGGCCTAACTAGTAGGAATTATTGATCAGGTGATTTGTCCAATGATTATATTATTATCTATGAATAAAATAAATAAAACAAACATAACAAAAAGAAGTTTATTTCAATTAAATATCAAATTCAACATGTTTCATAATACTTCAGATGGTGTCTTCAGTCTTCAAAGGCCTTGGCACATTGCTGCTGTTGGTAATGGTACATGCTTTTTAGTGAGGCATCTCCACATAATATCACATGTCTCATAGATAATTGTGGTGATAGGTGAATGGAGAATTCGATTTTATTAGGCCAATCCAGTTATAGTGAGGGGCCTATCTGTAAATGAAATTATTTTAATTTAGCACTAAAAGCAGGCCAGAACATAGAATAAAGACCTTATAGATTAGATCTACTCCCCACTACTGAGGTATTGCAACCACATTTATAGTTTAGATTTTACTTGTTTTAAATGTATAGATTACATAGAACACACAATTGTAATAATTAATGGTATTTAGAATCGGCCTTACTCTACTTACTGTAACAAAATATCTTATTTAATAAGAATTAACTGTACAAAGACACTTGCCTCAATGTCAAAGCCAAGCGTTTCTTTGGAGAAATGCATTTCCTATTTGATTTTCTCTTTCCTTTTCATTAAGCAATATAATCTTGGAAGCATCATTGTTTTCTTCCAAAAAATGAATCTGCATTTGTTCGTCGATTTTTTGTATTGAAAACAATGCCTGCCGGTGGTCAGACATACGTTCTGACGGGCTACAGTGTAACCGCTGGGGCGCACCCCTCTTCGGCAGATTGGACAACACCTGACGTCAGATGAAAAAATTCGGTCTGCCGACGTATAGTGTAACCGCAGCCTAAGTTGGACAAGCGAATGAGAAAAATATTCTACAACCAGTGTTCCTGCACTGTATTATTCACCAACAAACTTTGTTTGCTAAATATATGAACATTAGCAGTGTACTGAATCCTGTGGTGAAGATGGTGAATTTAATAAATTCCACATAGATAGTTCAGAGACATGTTGAAAGATACAAACACAGAAACGCAGAATTTACCTTATTATACAAGAGTAAGATGGCTAAATTGTTGGAAATTTCTGAGCAGAGTATTTAAATTAAGCAAGGAAAGTAAAGGCAAGCCACACCCATTAATGTCTGATAAAGAGTGGGTATGGAAATTGACCTTTGCTGCATAACTAGTCATAACTAGTCATTTAAATTTTCTGAACCTAAAACTACAATGAAAGTAAAATCTAGTTTCTGTTCTATACACCAACATAAAGGCCTTCATATCCAAATTGGTCTTGATTTTGGAACAAGTACAGGCCAACAACTTGACGCACTTTCAGCAGTGCAAGGTCTTCATGGCTAAAGCAACAGCTGAGTCATTTGCTTGTGAAATCATCAAGGACCTCCAGATGCAGTTTCAGTGGCGGTTTTCTGACTAGGATTCAAAGGCAGAAGAAGTGAGATGGTTTCAAAACCCATTTGAAACAAATGTGGCCAGTTTCCCAGATGAACTGCAGCTGGAGGTCATTGAATTGCAAGCAAATGACCTCCTTAAAGACAAGTTTAAAGAAGGGCGGGTGGGTTTTTATAAGGTTTTTTTAATGTTTTTGCCAAAGAAAGACTTTCCTAATATTAAAACTTTTGCATCAAAGTACCTTTCAAATTTCGGAACGTTTTTAAGAATGAAATACGTAAACAACAATTTGAGAACAAAGTTGGACCTCGAATGTGTTGCCGGCCCCCGACAGTGTTTTTTTTCAGAAATGTGTATATATTTCTATATAAATTTACTTCGTTGGGGGGGGGGGTGGGGTGTAGACTTTCTTTGGGGGTGGGGGGGGGGGGGGGAGATTCGCAAACTCGAAGAAATTCCTCGAAGTAACTCTGGCTCCCGAACTGATGTTATATAGTTAATGCGGCCCTCGGGCTGAAAAGTTTGGAGACCCCTGTAGTAGACTATAATTACTATTTTTAAAAGCTGTATGATTTTAAGAAAATTCTTAGAAAACTATTTTCTTCTATATAAATTACCTCATCATCACAAATACGTTTTTGCACTGAGCCAGGTAATGGCTGATTACTAGATCTGCGGCCTTTATGTTCGCTAAAGGGTATTAAAGAACTCAACATGGAATTCGAATTAGTACTGTTGAGGTCTGTCAATATAGGCATCATCTATAAATTTAAAAAAATATGTCATGTGTAAGTAATATAATTGTATGTGTAAACTGCATGTTATTTATTTTTGAGCATGTGTATTCATATATATATATATATATATATATATATATATATATATATATATATATATATATATATATATATATATATATATATATATATATATATATATATATATATATATATATATATATATATATATATATATATATACTTAGAAGTAGAAGCTTTTAGTTCAGATATAGTGATCTCACCTTTTCCATATTTAATGTAGCATTTAAAAAAGAATCAATAGTTCCTGGTTTCATATTTATGCCTTGCTTAGAAGAAGTATCTAATAACTCTTGTCTGTGTGATATCAAATCGGCTAACTTAAGGGATTCTGTTAATTAGAAACAACATTTGGTAAACTGAGTCTAAACATACAAATAAAATTTAATGTATCACACTTTGTTACAAATAAGGGACATAATCTTTTGACGTGTTCTAACTGGATTGCGCGCCTGTGTGTCAGCAGTTTCTAATTTTTTTGCTTTTGTGAGCGAAATGACTGGTAATTTTTCTCTTGTCATGTGACATCCGGTGTATCAGGGTAGGATTACTTTACAAATATCATTAAAAAAGTTTTTAAAAACCCACGTTTTCTGATTGAACTAAAAAGTAGAAAATAAATGATACATCACAATAATGCAAGCGATCACTCTACTATAAGTGGTGAAAAAAAAAAACTTTTTTAATGATAATTATTTTCTACTTTTTAGTCTTTGTCTGTTTGTTTGCATTAAAATCTTGTTATCGATTTTATCTTTTCGCATTCACTTTTTTTTGGGTAAACGAAGACAATTCGTAAAAAACACGTGCCTTGAACCCGTGTCGAGTGGGTTAGCAATCGTGTGCCCAACCACTCGACCATATCGTCTCCCCCATACTGGCCACCAGTTGTTCCGGTTGTTTGTACACAAACACAGCGTGACCAAAAACTCAGTAAGCCAAAAGAGGGAGAGTACCGAACCTTGTTTTCATCAAATTACAATTACTGGGTTATGTCCCTTTTTCCACACGTTTGTTTTTGTTCAAATATATAGCGGTCTAAAATGATCAATAAAATGTTTCCATGGATCAATTTAGTAATAATAACAATTGAATATTCTATTGTCATCGGAAACAAAGCTTCCCTGAAAATTTCAGCGCGCTAGCTAACTGGGAAGTGCCCGAAATTTCGATCGCAAGATTTGATTGGAAAAACAGACGCGAAAGCAAGTTAAAGAAAACGTGGGAATAGATCTAGATCTAGGTCGCTCAGTCTAATGCAAGCTTTTAACGCGATTTTAGGTGTCCAGCAATGCAATCCATGATGTTGTAATGAGTTAATTAAGAATTAGTCAATTGTGCTTTGTAGGATAACAATTTAAAAAATCGTATCTTAAATTCTTTTTAGTTTACATAAAAATTTGCAGAATTTTTAGGCCAAGCTAGATCTTAAATTAGAATTGCTTAGTAACAGTTTAAGAACCACTTATTGATGTTTAATGTAATTTATATCAGTATATCATTGTATAGACTATAGGGAATAGCCTGTAGCTTGTAGGCCTATGACGATAGGATTATTTGAGATCGTGGAAGTTTTAATCTAGAATTACTTGTGGTAGTTTAGCACAAAACCAGGGGAAATTTTCAAAGGTAAGCGCTAGAATTCGCGCCGTCATCCGAAAAACGCTCACGGCTGTGTTATATAAACCGCCGGATTAGCGTAGGAAAGAGAAAATCGACGGCCGTAGCCAAAATTTTATGCAGCCAGGCGCACCGTCAAAAAGGTTCCGTTAAAACGACCTCGACAAATCGGCCCCCGTTAAAGCGACCCAGTCAAAAGGGCCCCGACATTGGCTCCCGTCAAATGTTCTCCTTTATATTGACTCGCGACATATAGGCTTCCTTCTTCTTCTTCGTTCTTAATTCTAGTGTTAGAAGGGATCCCCTCCAACCAGAGGCGTAGCTAGGGGAGGGCGGGGAGGGCGGCCGCCCCGGGCGCCGACCCTAGGGGGGGGCGCCAAAAGGGGTAGAAAAAAATTAAAAGCTCATTTTAAGCTGCAGTTTTGAATTATACAGTCAAAGTAAAGAAATTTAACGGCTGAGAGCCTTTGCATACTGATTTAACTGTTCTCTACCTTGATTGTGTAACTGTAAAACGTATATCCTTAAGAAATAGTGACCGGAAAAACCGCTTTCCAGCTTTCCTAGGGGGGGGGGCGCTTTTTCGAAGACTAAAATCGGAAAAATTCACATCGGATTAAGGAATAAATAGCCGATATCACTCAGAAAAGAAACCCATGGAACTAAAGCGTATTTTACGATTGTGTAACATAATAAACCGGGAGTGATCTCCCCTAAACTTTCTCGAATATTCTTATATAAAGTAACAGGGGATGGGAACTCGGGCTATAGACACGATTTTTAATCCATTTTAAATACTTAAACTTTTAAAAATAGAATAAAATCTTGTAGACAAATTAATTGCACACCAAGTGAACGCCAAATAAAAAAGCGCATAATAGTGCGCAATATTATTAGTATTTAAAAAATTTACATTAGTTTTTTGAGAAATCGGAAGTAGCGTAAATTACTACTTCCGATCAACGGAAATTACTCAAAATTTAACAGAAGGTAGAGAATTAGATCTTTTACTTACATGTGAAATTTCATTTATCTATCTGAAATAGTACTCAAGTTATAGGCTTTTGAAAAATTCAAAGTAGAAAAAGTACCACTTCCGGTTGTCGGAAATCGCTCAAACGTTGATACGGATCTACGATTTTGATATAATACTTATATATGAAATTTCATCAACCTAGCTGTAACGATACTCAAGTTATCGTGTTTACACACGGACACACAGACACACAGACACACAGACACACAGACATACGGACAAGATTGCAAAATTATGTTTTTCCGTATCAGTGAGGTGTAAAACGTCGAGATTTGTAAAAATCTCGATTTTTTTTTTTTGCACGATTACAATACTTTCTCTATACTACGTATATACGAGAAAGTAAAAAAGAGTTAGCAGACTGTCGGAGCGGGTGGAACGGAAGCGACACTCTTTGCCAACATTTAAAGAGAGAAGAAAATTAGTATATTGTACTGATTATTACTTTGTTCAACCTAACTGATAATTCAAAATTGCAATATTGGCTTACTATTATCGAAGACACGACCAAAAGTAGACCAAATAAGGCTTGCACCTTCTACAAAATACACTCTAAAGCAGTGGTTCCTAACTATTTGGAGTACCGAACCCAACCAGTTTCATATGCGCAATCACCGAACCCTCCTTAATAGTTGTATCGTCCACAATGCCAGAATGCGATCGTGAATCTTATGAGTCAGGTGTGTGTCTTGACCTCCGCGGAAGCCCTGAGACTGAATTACCGAACCTCTCGGGTTCGATGTAGCCCACTGTTCTAAGCCCTTTTGATTTTTTACTTTTTGTTCGTTTCGGCATCTTAAGGGGAATTCATTGACGTCTAGTGAAGTTTTAGGGAACGACAATCAGCGTAATTGTTAATTTTTTTTCCAGACTGTCGCACACACAAAAACACAAGCATTTATATATATATATATATATATATATATATATATATATATATATATATATATATATATATATATATATATATATATATATATATATATATATATATATATATATATATATATATATATATGGGGGCGCCAAACTGAAAGTTCGCCCCGGGCGCCGGGAAGGATCGCTACGCCTCTGCCTCCAACACAATTAAGTATACGTGTTAACTGATTATGCGCCATTGAGGCCATTGACTCCAGAGTTTCTTCCAGGTGGACACCCCCCCTCCCCCCCCCCCCCCTCCCCCCGAAGAAAGACTACCGATATATGGGCTCACGACAAACGGGCTCACGACATAATAATTGCTACCGACAAATGGACTTGGGATATATTAGCGCCCGACAAAATGACTATCGACATATTGGCTCCAGACAATTGAATGGTATGACCACTATTGGCACAGACGTTCACATTGTGTCCAACCCACCAACCAAACGCAGTTCCTACCTCCACTACCACTATAACCTTTTTTTATGTCTGAGTCAAAAACTTTTTCAAGAACCAACAGTAATTCATAAACAAATCGTGCTCTTAACAGTTATATGCCACCAATTTTAAAATATTGATAATGTTTTATTTACAACCTTGAAGATCTATTGCTTCAAAGCGAACACAGAAGTTTAAATGTATGATATACATGATGTGAGCAAGGTAAACGAAGGTCTACCGCCTCCTCAGACGAAATGGAATTTATATAGAAAATATATAGTTTTAACAGTGTCCGCCCCCCCCCCCCCCCCCACCCGCGAAAATTTCAAGTGCCCCCCCCCCCCCGCGGAAAAAGTCTGAAAGAAACACTGACGGCAGTCATAGCTAGATGCCCCTTAAATTTAAAACTTACGTCTCTTGTAGTAGATAAAATAATATTTAAAAAGGCATTTCGATCAAAAGCTGCATACCTTGTTCTATTTAAGGGTGTTGTCTGAGCTAACGCTAAAGGGTATTAGGTGTCCCACTGGCAGGTGTCATTCAATGAGGCCATTCCGAAACCGTACTGACAGTGGCCCTTTTGTCTGGAGCTAAAATGTCGGTAGCCTCTTTGATGGGAGTCATAATGTCGGGAAGCCTAATTGACGGGGTCCAATTGTCGCTGGTCCTTTTGACGTGGTCGATTTGTCAAGGCTAGTTTGACATTGGTCATTTTGATGCAGCACACGTGTCGGCGCTATAGTGTACTTAGCTACACATGCAATTCCCGTTGAGAAAAGATATTGTACTGTTCGAATAGCTTAATAAAGATTGAAGACATCATCTTCAATCGTCAGTTTCTTCAACGTGAAAGTATATAGAAAAAACATTACAGTGTTGACACACAGACTTGTTCTGTAACGCGTTGAGTGTAGGTCTAATGAAGGGCTATACGTCAATGTCGTTGCAATTATGTACCTAATCGGCATTTCAAGGCACATGACCTTGTTGGGTGACTATCAAATAAAATCCCTACTAGGCAGTGTTACATTTAAATATTTGTTACTCATCCCCTTAAAATTAGCCTGGTTCAAAGTGCTCTTTTGAAAAAAAAATTTTTATTCTGATAGTGATTGTTATAACTGCAGACCATGTATCCAGCAGTTATGCAACGGACTATTTTTACCTGTTTTTATTTAACCGCCGACTGGCTCCTAGTTTTCTTTAAGCTGCTCTACCAAATGTTACAACTGCGGACAGGTGAGTGTGTGCATGAGTGAGTGAGTGTTTGTGAGTGAGTGTGTGTGTGTGTGAGAGAGTGTGTGTGAGAGTGTTTGTGTATGTGAGTGTGTGTGCGTGAGTTAGTGAGTTAGTGAGTGAGTGCGTGTGTGTGTGTTTTTTTAGTGTATGAAATTATGTGTTGTGAAAGGATTTTGTATAAATATAAGATAGTGACTGTTACGCGGTAAAAAAAAATGTGACGAATTAGTGTAGGATCTTTGTTGCTGGGAAGAAGGTTAAAGCATTTTTGTGTCTTGTGTTAGGATGAGGTCGTGTTGTCAAGTCTTCGTATGGGTGGTTAAGGTCGTCGTCTATATGGTGCAATAATAATGGAATGAACCAATGTGACCCTGTCAAGTCATTTGTACGCGTTGATGTCGTCGCATCATAGGTTAGAACTCGGTGATAAACTCAGGAATGGTTAGAGTGCAACATCGTAGTGTAAACCCCAGTGTTTCTTCCAGACTTTTTTCTCCGGGGGGGGGGGGGGGGGCACTTGAAATTTTCGGGGGGGGGGGGCGGTAGACTTTCTTCGGGGGGGGGGGGGGCGGACACTGTTAAAAGTATACATTTTCTATATAAATTATATAAATTTCATTTCGTTCGGGGGGGGGGGCGGTAAACTGTGTAACTGAGGGATACATTGTGTGCATTTATACCAGAGATTTAGCCTCACTTCCCAGTCCCCGCCCCCACCACCTCCACCACAACACATAACAAGAAAATGAAGCACAGTGTTTAAACTTCATTCGTTACAAAGTTTTTTAAAAACTGCTAAAGCATAAACTATATTTACTTATTCTTTCACACTAATCAAACCTTATTGAGAAACGTGTCATTTTAGTTAAAGAAGTGATAAGTCAATCAAGTTTGTTGTTGTTTCTATTGTTTTCTATTTCAAGAACTTGGTTGTTGTTATTTAGCAGATATACCATTTTAGAGACTCTTGTTGTTTTGCAGATTACCTATCTCGGGACAGGCTTCTTGTTATTTGGCAGATTACCTATTTCAGGGACTTGGTCCAGAGAAACATTTTGTAGTTCAGTCAAAAGCTGTAGATTCTCTTGAAGATTTGATAATGCATCCAGACTGCTGACGGTATTTATGGCGTGGAGAACATCAAGTACTTTCTTGAAACTAATTTAAAATTAGATACTTGTACAATCAGTATCAAGCATGCTATTACGATAAGAAAATTAGTTCATTTTGGTAGTGAATATGTAAAATAACGTATACTAAATGTTAATTATTTCACGTTTCCACCACAGATCAGCCAAAAAGTAAACAACCAGTGAAATCTGACCGTGACTGACGAGCACTTTATACGAGCTATATACCAAAAATAAATCGCCAAGCCGAACCCCCTGATAATTTCTGAGTTCATAGAATGACCCCCGGGGTAAAAAAAAAAAAAAAAAAAAACGTGTTCCCTTCAGTAAAACCCCGGACGGTCGTAAATACTGACATTGTAATGTTTATGAAAAAAATAAGCGACTTTTCAAAAAGTTTTTAAGGTAAGCCTACTTATGCTACGTATATCTATCTATCTTTTTGCATGGACATCGGTAATTCACTCGACCATTTGGGAATATTGTCTGTCAAACTCCGTGAATGAATACCTCCTTAAATAACATAAGCCTGTATCTGTATATAGAAAAACATTCTTAACCTCAACACCCCCTGATATTTTGTGAGGCTGTAGACCAATGCCCAGGGGTACCCCCAAAAACGTGTTGCTCTGGGGAAAATCGTTAAAGGGGTCAAAGCTTACCAGATGCAGTATTACATTATGAAAAAAATTACTAATTTTTTTATAAAACGGAGGTGAAAATTCAATAAGTTTTTATGCTCTGTACATCTAACTAATTTTGTGCATGGACCTCGGTAATTTACTCGGCGATATAGGAAAATTGTCAATCAGCCTCTATTATATTAAAAACAAAATCTTAACACCGACACATCTTGATATTTTGTGAGGCTATAGACCCCTGATATTTTGTGTGGTTATAGACCCCTGATAATTTGCGAGGTTATAGACCCCTGATATTTTGTGAGGTTATAGACCCCTGATATTTTGTGTGGTTATAGACCCCTGATATTTTGTGTGGTTATAGACCCCTGATAATTTGCGAGGTTATAGACCCCTGATATTTTGTGAGGTTATAGAGCCCTGATATTTTGTGAGGTTATAGACCCCTGATATTTTGTGAGGTTATAGACCCCTGATATTTTGTGAGGTTATAGAGCCCTGATATTTTGTGAGGTTATAGAGCCCTGATATTTTGTGAGGTTATAGACCCCTGATATTTTGTGAGGTTATAGACCCCTGATATTTTGTGTGGTTATAGACCCCTGATATTTTGTGAGGTTATAGACCCCTGATATTTTGTGTGGTTATAGACCCCTGATATTTTGTGTGGTTATAGACCCCTGATATTTTGTGAGGCTATAGACCCCTGATATTTTGTGAGGTTATAAACCCCTGATAATTTGTGAGGTTATAGACCCCTGATATTTTGTGAGGTTATAGACCCCTGATATTTTGTGAGGTTATAGACCCCTGATATTTTGTGAGGTTATAGACCCCTGATATTTTGTGAGGTTATAGACCCCTGATATTTTGTGAGGTTATAGACCCCTGATATTTTGTGTGGTTATAGACCCCTGATATTTTGTGAGGTTATAGACCCCTGATATTTTGTGAGGTTATAGACCCCTGATATTTTGTGAGGTTATAGACCCCTGATATTTTGTGAGGTTATAGACCCCTGATATTTTGTGAGGTTATAGACCCCTGATATTTTGTGAGGTTATAGAGCCCTGATATTATGTATGGTTATAGAGCCCTGATATTTTGTGAGGTTATAGACCCCTGATATTTTGTGAGGTTATAGACCCCTGATATTTTGTGAGGTTATAGACCCCTGATATTTTTGAGGTTATAGACCCCTGATATTTTATGAGGTTATAGATCCCTTATATTTTGTGAGGTTATAGACCCCTGATATTTTTGAAGTTATAGACCCCTGATATTTTCATGAGGTTGTAGACCCCTGATATTATGTATGGTTATAGACCCCTGATATTTTGTGAGGTTATAGACCCCTGATATTTTGTGAGGTTATAGACCCCTGATATTTTGTGAGGTTATAGACCCCTGATATTTTTGAGGTTATAGACCCCTGATATTTTGTGAGGTTATAGATCCCTTATATTTTGTGAGGTTATAGACCCCTGATATTTTTGAAGTTATAGACCCCTGATATTTTCATGAGGTTGTAGACCCCTGATATTTTGTGTGGTTATAGACCCCTGAAATTTTGTGTGGTTATAGACCCCTGATATTTTGTGAGGCTATAGAGCCCTGACATTTTCATGAGGTTGTAGACCCCTGATATTTGTGTGGTTTAAAACCCCTGATATTTTGTGAGGTTATAGACCCCTGAAATTTTTTTAGGTTATAGAGCCCTGATATTATGTATGGTTATAGACCGATGATATTTGTGTGGTTTAAAACCCCTGATATTTTGTGAGGTTATAGAGCCCTGATATTATGTATGGTTATAGACCCCTGATATTTGTGTGGTTTAAAACCCCTGATATTTTGTGTGTTTATAGACCCCTGATATTTTGTGAGGTTATAGACCCCTGATATTTTGTGTGGTTATAGAGCCCTGATATTTTGTGAGGTTATAGACCCCTGATATTTTGTGAGGTTATAGATCTCTTATATTTTGTGAGGTTATAGATCCCTTATATTTTGTGAGGTTATAGACCCCTGATATTTTGTGAGGTTATAGACCCCTGATATTTTGTGAGGTTATAGACCCCGGATATTTTGTGAGGTTATAGACCCCTGATATTTTGTGATGTTATAGACCCCTAATATTTTGTGAGGTTATAGACCCCTGATATTTTGTGAGGTTATAGATCCCTTATATTTTGTGAGGTTATAGATCCCTTATATTTTGTGAGGTTATAGACCCCTGATATTTTGTGAGGTTATAGACCCCTGATATTTTGTGAGGTTATAGACCCCTGATATTTTGTGAGGTTATAGATCCCTTATATTTTGTGAGGTTATAGAGCCCTGATATTTTGTGAGGTTATAGACCCCTGATATTTTCATGAGATTATAGACCCCTGATATTTTGTGAGGTTATAGACCCCTGATATTTTGTGAGGTTATAGACCCCTGATATTTTGTGAGGTTATAGATCCCTTATATTTTGTGAGGTTATAGACCCCTGATATTTTGTGAGGTTATAGATCCCTGATATTTTGTGTGGTTATAGACCCCTGATATTTTGTGAGGTTATAGACCCCTGATATTTTTATGAGGTTGTAGACCCCTGATATTTTGTGAGGTTATAGACCCCTGACATTTTGTGAGATTATAGACCCCTTATATTTTGTGAGGTTATAGACCCCTGATATTTTGTGTGGTTATAGGCTCCTGATATTTTGTGTGGTTATAGGCTCCTGATATTTTGTGTGGTTATAGAGCCCTGATATTTTGTGAGGTTATAGACCCCTGATATTTTGTGAGGTTATAGACCCCTGATATTTTGTGAGGTTATAGAGCCCTGATATTTTGTGAGGTTATAGACCCCTGATATTTTGTGAGGTTATAGACCCCTGATATTTTGTGAGGTTATAGACCCCTGATATTTTGTGAGGTTATAGACCCCTGATATTTTGTGTGGCTATAGACCCCTGATATTTTGTGTGGTTATAGACCCCTGATATTTTGTGTGGTTATAGACCCCTGATATTTTGTGAGGCTATAGACCCCTGATATTTTGTGAGGTTATAAACCCCTGATAATTTGTGAGGTTATAGACCCCTGATATTTTGTGAGGTTATAGACCCCTGATATTTTGTGAGGTTATAGACCCCTGATATTTTGTGAGGTTATAGACCCCTGATATTTTGTGAGGTTATAGACCCCTGATATTTTGTGTGGTTATAGACCCCTGATATTTTGTGAGGTTATAGACCCCTGATATTTTGTGAGGTTATAGACCCCTGATATTTTGTGAGGTTATAGACGCCTGATATTTTTTTAGGTTATAGACCCCTGATATTTTATTAGGTTATAGACCCCTGATATTTTGTGAGGTTATAGAGCCCTGATATTATGTATGGCTATAGACCCCTGATATTTTGTGAGGTTATAGACCCCTGATATTTTGTGTGTTTATAGACCCCTGATATTTTGTGAGGTTATAGACCCCTGAAATTTTGTGAGGTTATAGACCCCTGATATTTTTGAGGTTATAGACCCCTGATATTTTGTGAGGTTATAGATCCCTTATATTTTGTGAGGTTATAGACCCCTGATATTTTTGAAGTTATAGACCCCTGATATTTTCATGAGGTTGTAGACCCCTGATATTTTGTGAGGTTATAGACCCCTGATATTTTGTGTGGTTATAGACCCCTGATATTTTGTGAGGTTATAGAGCCCTGATATTTTCATGAGGTTGTAGACCCCTGATATTTGTGTGGTTTAAAACCCCTGATATTTTGTGAGGTTATAGACCCCTGATATTTTCATGAGGTTGTAGACCACAGCTTAGCGTACCACAAAAACGTGTTGCTTTTGTGAAATTCTTTTAAAGGGGTCAAGGCTAACCAGGAGGCAATTTCTCTTGCTATAAACATAGTAGTTTTTGTGGTGAAATTTCAAGTTACTTAGTCTCTGAACATATGTCCGATTTTTTGCACGGATTTCGATAACTGACTCGGCCATATGGGCCGAGGTTTATTTTTAAAACAAATACGGGCGTAGCTGTGCTTATATGGTGGGACGGAGTGGTCTAGCGGTAGAGAGCTGGACTGCTAACCCGTTAGTCTGGATTTCGAATCCGGGTTCGTTAGTAGACCGTCCCTGAGTCCACCCAACTCTGATGGGTACCTAACTCATGTTAGGGATAGTAAAGGCGGCTGGGCATAGTGCTGACCACACTATCTCTTCATATGCCGAGGTCACAGAAACAAGTGAACTCTACTTCACTTGCCCCATAGACCGTAAGGTTTGAAAGGGAAACTTTACTTTTTTTTTTTACTGTGCTTATATGGGAGCCGGAAAGTTCCGGGTTACCCGACCGCACCGGAGGCCGCCCCTGTTGTAGTTTGACTGTTCCATGAATTAGTACACATGTAATCAGATTCAGGTGCAGTTTGACCATTGAAGTTGGGCTCAAACTAAACACTAACAAAACCAAAGTTTTGAAGCAAAATGCATCTAGTCAAGAACCTATTGAAATAGAACAACACACAAGTAGATTTCACATATTTAGGAACCATTGTCAACTATGACTACTTCACTGAAATTAAAACAGGCATTTTTAAAGCCAAACAAGCCTTCGCAACCATGCAAAAAACCATGGCGATCGAAGAAAATCTCCTCCAAGACCAAATGCAGACTTTTCAAAAGTAATGTCCTTAGCGTCCTACTGTAAGGCAGCGACCCTTCCCGGCGCCCGGGGACAAACTTATGTCTCCCCCCCCCCCCTACTTGATCGAACTAGAAGTACCATCCCTTTCTGTTATATAAGAACAGGGTGAACGGAAAGAGGTGCAACGGAAAACTGCGCACAAAAAAAGTGCGTAAGGGCATTTTGCGTTTCCTTAAATCGAGCAATTAAAGAAATTAACAAAGAGTAACTACATGGAAACTGTAGCATAATAAAAATATTTCTCCAAACTATGACAACATTTAATTATATTAGTATAATAAGTTTGTATTTGCGCGATTTTCTGTTTGCGCAGTTTTTCGATTGCGCATTTATCTGAAAACCAAGAATATACCAGAAAGTTTATGGGAGATCACTACCGCTTTATTTTTAAGATTAGGAATTTTACCCTGATTATTTTATTTAAAAATGAAAAATAACTAAAATTCTTTCGAAAACTGGTTTTTCTTTTAAAAGTAAAAATGAGTTTGAAATTATTCACTCACGTAGATCCATTTAACTGAGCTTTATTTTGAGTATCTGCTTCACCAGCATTGTGGTAACAATCGTTATTAAAATTACATACATAAGTTGAGAGAAATGGGAAAATTCCAGCTGATGGCATGGCTCGTGCAGTGTAGTGACCTGATGTCAAATAGAATTCACAAAGCAATATTAAAAACATTCTTGAAATTGTCTCGGTAAAACTGGTTTTACCTAAACCACTTCCATATATCCTGCACTCTACTGACATTCACGTCCCCACCTCAAGGATTTCTTTCAGACATTTTTTTCTGAGGTAGTGGGCACTGAAACTTCCGGGAGGGGGGGGGGAGGCATAAGTAACACTGGGGGGCGGACACTAGTAAAAACATATATTTTCTATGTCAATTATATTTTGTTCGGGGGGGGGGGGGGGGGAGAAACTCTGGTTAGATGGGTTATTTTTGTAAAAAAACGCAATGAATTATTTTTAGCAGTAAGATTTTTCAGTGCTGAGTGATGTTATGAGCCAATAGATTGCTGTCTGTAGTGTGTATAAAGGCAATAACAAAATGAACTATTTCTTTTCAACCGTATGCGTATGAATTACATTCTTAAAAATTCTCCCTCATTCCAGGTCTAACGTATAATACACTTACAGTTACAATTTCCAATATTCTCCCTGATTCCAAGTCTCAAGCTATGAAACAGACTTACATTCTCTCTCATTTTCACTGATCCTGGGCTTAACTTATGAATTAGACTTACATTCTCCAATATTCTCCCTAATCCCGGGTCTAAACCGGACGGTTATTAATATCAAGAAGAGTGCAAGAGGCCAAATGATTTCTACAATGACACGAAGCTGGTGAACGGGAAAAATACATCATATTTAGATCTTTAATATGAGTAAAAGAGAAGAAATTCAGTAATTACAAACATTTCAATATAGTAGCAGCTGTCGAGCACTTAATTAAAAACTTAAAGACAAAAAAAATTCATAGAGGGGTGATCCATAAATAATGTCACACAAATGCAGTGGCGTAGATAGGGGTGGTGTGGGGCGACCGCTCAGGCACTCTTAGCGGTAGAATATTTTTTTTAATTTTAAGCTTTAATAGTGCAGTGTACACAGTCAAAGTTTAGAAAAATAAGCAGATGCTAGGTTTTATACACTGATTTACTGTTTTCTACCTTGATTATGTAACACTAAAGGAAATACCATTAAGACTCAGTGGTTGGTAAAAATCTCTTACCTGCTTTTGCCTAGATGGGGGTGGGGGTGGGGGAAAGAAATCGCCCATGTAAATCGAAAGGATTTACACCATTCCAATTCTATTCCAGCTTAACAATTATTAGAATACTCCACCAGCCAGTGGTGAAAAAATATAATGCGGCTAGTCCTTAATAGTTAAAAGTTCCTCTCAATCAGCATACGGTAGAAGCGGGCGGAGTGGGAGACGATACTCTTGGTCGAAATTCTAACTTAATTAATAAAAATATAACCAGTTTTTCTATATGTAAAATTACCTAATACATTCTTTTTACTCTAAATTAGTAAATTGTACCGCAGAAATCGACCAAAAATGGACCAAATTAATTTGCACCTTTTTCGAACCACTAATTATAGTAATTAAACTTCTGATTTGCTTTTTTTTTCTTTCGGCTTTGTGAGAATACCAATACGACACTCCGTCAAATAACAAGATATTTATTTTAAAGCTCAAGCCCTGAGAATTCATCTTCCCGTCTCTCTTTGGAATGAGTTCCTATTTGACTTTTTGGTCTACCCACTTTCCTCTTTCCTCGTAAATTTCACACCAGCGCCTGCTTAGTGGCAGTAGCGTCGCTAGGTCGGGTGTCACCCGGTGCGGCACCTCATGGTGTCACCCCACCCTCTTTTTTTTCTCTGTAAATTTTGTAGTTGGTGTCTACCCCCCCCCCCATAGTAGGTTGTTAATACAGCTGGGTGTAGCATTGTTTTCTATATAGTTTGCATGTTTACGTCATATCATCCCCTTCTCCCACTCCTTGTCGGGATCGTATGTAAAATACTTTTTAACTCTAACCATCCATTGAACTGGCAAAAAAACACATTTATTCTATATATATTGCAAATTTTTTTTGTCTTGGTGTCACCCCCCCTAAATGGTGTCACCCGGTGCGGTCCGCACCCCCGCCCCCCTTAGTGGTAATATTAACTGTCTTTCTGAGCGTTTCCCATACCCACCGCCTCTTCGTAAGTTCGTCCCGAATGTCGGAATGTTTCGCTACGCCTCTGCAAAAATGGGTTGGACTGGATTTTTTCAATAAATTGTGATGACGACTGAGATTGGAGGAGGTGGGAGGGGGGGGGGGGGGTTAAGAAATTAGTAGTTAGCGAAAACGCGGGCTTAGCTGTTTTGTTGTTGTTGTTGTTGTTATTTTATTTTTTTATTTTTTGCGAGTTTCCTTTTCTGCTTTAAATAATAGTATGTAAAAACTTACAGGTTGACGTTTTCGGAGAATCAAATTTTTCCACAGAAGAAGTCTAAGTTGTAGCAAAACACTCATTGGTCCTTTTTAAAAATATCTCTGAAAAAATATATTAAATATTTTCTTGTTAGGTCTTGTTAGAGCTGACGGGCGAGACTTGGGCGCCAACTTTTATGCTGCTGGGGTGCCAGAGGACGCGCCTAATTCTATTTAATGAACGGTTATTGATGCTCATTGTATTCATAGTGTATGGTGGGGATCGTGAGCTTGTTCAAACTACCGCCTAGACTTCCCAGAGTATACGTTAATCACCCTCCGTAACAGTGAGGTAGAACACACCACGGTGTTAGAGGCCCATGTTTCGGTTTAATCATCGAATGTCGCATGCTAGTTTTTTTAACAGAAAAACCGCAAAAAATATTTTTTTCATATTTTATAAAAAATTTAATTGTGAAATTCCGTTAAATTTTGCATTGTTTTAATGATTTTTCACCATACCAAATGTCCCTGATACTTGCAAATATTTTCTTTTAAGTACCCTAACTTAGAAAAACACAAATAAATAAATAAAACGTATTAATTAAGAAGTTGTTTTTTTCTGGAGCCTACCCTCTTAAAACCAATGTAGACGCCGCCATAGTGCTCATTTTCGAGCCCTAATATTAACTAATATCTCAAATAATGCGTGTAGGGAGTTTTAATCCAAAATAATTAGATCTAGATACCATGTAAATAAAAATTTGACTGTACGAAACTTCACTTTTAATAATAAAAATACAAAGCATGGTTCCATGCCTTATCGCAATAGTGTAGCTGACTAGCTGGTAGCAAAGAAAATCGGGCATTTTTCATGGATTGCTACATTGCTGTTTGTCTGAAAGCTTGTGAGTAAGAGCTAATTCAGAGTGTAGACCCTAGGCCTAACATTAAATTTTGTATATTTTTTTTACATTGTTAGTTAAGCCTACCACCTCACGACGCAATCTACCCCGATCTGACGAAATAATTTACAATAGCTGTCTGTTTCTAAATAGGGGTCGGCCCGAGTGCGAACTCATTTGTCAGAATTCGGCCACTGTCTGTGTTTTTTAAACTTTAAAATAAGAGAACGGTTGTCCGAGCTACGTCATTGTTGGGAATCTTGGCTTTATGTAAACAGTGTCTGGGTAGGAGGTGATGACAGCTGATGTTTATAACTAAAGTTGTGTACGTATTTAAAAACAAAAATGAAACTAGCTTGGATTCAAACATTAAAACATTCTTTTTAAGTAAAAATAATTACACTATAAAGTGAAATTTACTATGTTTTGTAAGAGAAAATTTAGAGGAACCTAAATATCAGCCCCTACACCCCTCATCCGACACAATAGTAACGATGCTTATTTATAGTTACTTATCAAAATACAACTGTATACAATAGCGGATTAAGGTGGGGGGGGGATGAAAGGGCTGCAATCAGAGGCGTATCCAGGTTTTCGTTATAGGGGGAGCGAAATGAGCAAGAAATGAGCAAAAAAAAAGGCGCCGAATTTTTTACACGTTCTATATACTTGTAATATATATATATATATATATATATATATATATATATATATATATATATTACTGGTAATTTAAAATACAATATTCACATATTCACAGAGTTTTAGCTGATTCAAAAGCTGTGATTCTGGCGGCATGGTACTTTGGTACATCGTTACGCGTTTTCCCAAATGTACTTAACAGATCAGTTCGGGGTGGGTTGGGAGGGGGGGGGTTCAACTTCATTCACCACTGTCCGGTCACTTTAGGTCAATTATCCAACCCAGTGTATACCTAGGTGTGACATTAATGTCGCTCTACACAATTGTGGTGGTGAGGTGTGTGTGAGTGTGTGTGGTGAACAGAGTGAATATAGCGTCAGTTTTTAGATGACTGTTCTAAACATACATATTCAATTACACATATATACTGATTCAAAAATAGATTTAAATAAGTAGCAGTGGTATTATGACACTATTTTTTTTACAGAGGGGTCCATGGGGGGAGGGGGTTGTAACTGTTTCATATAATTTGTAATCGTAATCACTATCGCCCTGTCATAATACTACTACTTCATCGTGATGACGTTGTTGACCTTGTCAAAATGTCCCCATCACTACGCAGTTTGCCCATAAGTAAATTTAAATAGAGGTGCCACATCAGTTGTATGTGTCTGTATTGTAATTTTTTTTATTAATTACACGATTAAAACTGTATATATAAAGTAATTTTGTGTGAAGATTTATGTATAATATTTTCTGGATCAATTATTCTTAAGCGAATACATTATACAGTTGCCTTAAACTTAACAACCCTCTTGCCAAGTGGTACTACCGTAGAGTTTTTTTAAAAATTGCAATGCATCGTAATGGTTATTTTTAGAATGACAAACTTGATACAGCTGTTAATACGTGTTGTAAACGGAGACGCTACTAGAATAGTACAATTCTGCTTAATTGCTGCATGAAAAGAAATCTTACATAGATGTGCCGACCAAAAATAATTTTTAATCAACAAAAATCATTGTTTAAAATTTTGAGTTTAAAAAGTTTCCAAAAAGGCTCCACTTTGCTGAAAATGACCAGAGGGGGAGCAGCCGCTGTTACCAATCTTATGTTCTTAGACGTGTGATTTTGTTTCCTAAAACTGAGATTTAAATATGCTTGAGCTCTATTTCTTGGATAATATTTGTCGGGGCACTGGTTTTACCTACATTACATCCTACCACGCCCCTAGAGCTCGGTGTATGAAAGCCTCGAGTGTACGTTAATCACTCTCCGTAACAGTGAGGTAGAGCACACGTCATCGACCGTCCAGGTGCTAGGGACATAGAGGGGCGCTCTCGGGAGCCCCAGGCTACACTACAGCGGGTCGCCGCTTTCGGTCCCTGGCTTGGTTTGATCATCGAATGTCGTGTGCCCCCGTATCAATATTTTAGGTTGCTCCTTAAAACGAACGTAGTGCTCACGGGTGAGCCTGGGGGCCTATTTTCTCCTTGCAGAGGGTCCGGCGAACGCGCCTCATTAAATTTAGTGAACGACTATTATGCCCCATCTTGTCCATACTCTATCGCACAGTTTAAAACGAACGTTGGCGTCATAGTGCTCACGGGATAACCCGGGGCGTCAAATTGCACCCTGCCGGTGCACAATCCGTGCAAAATTTTGTTTTCCTTGGAGTATTCTCAACAACATTCTAAAGTTTCATGGTGATCGAATGAAAGGTGTAGTAATGCATAAAAGACAAATAAATTCTGACGAAATATATTAGGAGGGTTTCGTCATTGCTTTACCAGTTATATATTCTTGGTCGCATTACCTTGTTTTCTAAAACTGAGCTATTTAAATGTAAACAACGCCTACGCTTATATCATATTTATCTGGGCACGGGTTTACCTACACTACCGCACAGCATACCATCCAGCGAGCGTGCTATATAAAAGCCTTGAGTGTACGTTGATCACTGACTGTAATATCACAGTTAATCACTCACCGCCTAAGCTTCGAGGACGTGGAGGGGCGATCTCGTAAGCCCTCGATTACACTTCCGTAGGGGCGCCGCGTAAGGCACCTGGCTCGGTTTAATAATTTAATGTCGGCTGCCGCCTTGCGAATAAAGTAGGGTGCTTCTTAAAACTATTGTAGGTGCCATAGTGCTCACAGGATAGTTCAGGGCACCAAATCGCACCCTGCCGTTTTGCCGGCGGACGCGCCTGATACAATTTAGTGAGCGACTATAATGCCCCATCTTATCCATTGTCTATCAAATTGTTTAGAACGAACGTAGGCATAATTGCGCTCACAGGAAAGCCCAGGGCGCCAAATCGCACCTTGCAGGGGCGCCGGAGCATGCACCTGATTCAATATAGTCAACTATAATTGTTGCCCATAATTGTAGCCTTTTTGTTTTAAACGATCGTAGGGACATAGCCCTCATAGGGAGGCCCGGGGCGGCGCTTCTGGGCACACAATCGTCGGGGCGCCGGTGGCTGAGCCCATTGCATTTTTACTGCTGAATTTAGTAGTGCCACTTATCCGCTATGCAGGACGCCCGATTAACGGATGTCAAAGTGCTAACATAGCCGCTATCGAACTCGGGGTGGCAAACCGTGTATTGACGGAAATCGCACCCTCTCGTGAACCGCCCTTAAGAAAAAAAAATTTCACCGACAACGTCTCGGAAGTATCCTCTTCAAAACCCTAGTTTCATGGCGATCGAATGAACGGTGTCGAACCGCATTCGACTTTTTATTTTTTATATACCGTATATAAAGAAAAATCACACCCTCCCGGGGCGCTGCCCTTGCGAAATTAAAACATAATTTTTTGCAGAGCCCTTCCCTGTCCTGTAGTGTTCTAATCAACTTCCTAAAGTTTCATGGCAATAGGATGAACGGTGTCAAACTGCAATTTATATACCGTATATGGATAAGAATCGAATCGCCCACTGCTGGGGCACCACCCCTGCGAATTCAAAAAATATTTTTTCACAGGTATCTCCCCAGGAGTATTCTCAACAACATCCCAAAGATTTTTTGGCGATCGGATGAAAGGTGTAGTATATATATATATATATATATATATATATATATATATATATATATATATATATATATATATATATATATATATATATATATATATATATATATATATATATATCATACGGTGTTAAAAGCGTTAATAGCTGTACAATTGAAGATAAATTACAACACCATACTTATGTTTCTAAACAGAATACAAATAAAAAAAACATTTTAAAAATTGACTTAGCTAAACTCTTGAAAACACTTCATACAGATAAATCCAAAGGAATGACTGACTCAACAAATGTAAAAATGGGTAGAATTTCGGGGAGGGGAGAAAGTTTGGGGACATACCGGAAGGGGGGAAGGGCTATATGCCATGCCCTAAAAAGAGTTTCCAGTTTTACATAGCCCTACCGGGCCGGGCTGCAGTCACAAAGGGGTAAAATATTCTTTGTTGAATTAAATTGAAAAAAAAACTAAAGGTCAAATGTTCCACTGTTGTTTGTTACAACTGAGGCCACGGTTGATGTGAGTGAGTTATCACCCACCTGAACTGCGATAGGAAGACATTAGATACTCATCTTGGTAAAAAAAAAAACTTAAAAAAAAAACTCGATGCATTGAGAAAATATCGATACTAGTCATAGAGAACAGCGATCTCTGCATGTGCGCTTTGTCGATGTTTAACGTTGTGACTTTTAACCTGTGGAATAATTCATTGAAATTTTGTATCGCTAAAGACACAACTATTTAGCTTGACTGCCAGCAGCACTCGAGAAACATGGCTTAGAGATTGGTGAATGTCGAGGTCATACTGTCAGAGATATGATAATGAAGCTAATATGAAAGGAAATCTATATGATTATATGGTCGTCATAATATTAATTCGCTTTGAGAAAAAGAAAAAACACTACTTTTCCAAATTGGAGGAAAAGGTTTCGAACACTTAGAACACTAAATTCGTATACTATTTTCCTGAATTGATACAGCCTTACTGTGCATGTTGAAGACACCAATGGTAGAACTTGGTCCCCACGCTATGGTCGGCCCTTGGTCTTTAGGCTCCGCGTATTCCCATGCCAACTTATCCAGAATAATCTAGTAACGGCTACCAGGGCCGTTATAACTCACACAATTCATTAAATCAACGTGGACTCACTCTACAGATGCTCTGCTCTACTGTTTATAAAATCAGTTCTATGTAAGCTCTACTTTGCATTCAAATACTTTAACATTAGCTCGACTGTTACCATGCCCTACAATGCATATAAAACAATATGGGCACAATTATTTTAAGTGATATCACTACAATGTATCAAAAAACAATATGTAGATGCATATTCTTGAGCGTGTCCTTATAGCGTCTCAAAAACAATATGGGCATTCTTATTCTTTAGTATATTCATATAGTACAGGGCTCTCCAAACTGCGGCCCGCGATGTCCTCTTATCCGGCCCGCGGAGATCTTTTTGTCCACAGAAAAAACGTTTTTTGGTGATGGCTTAGGAACTTTGCCCAGAAAATCAAAGACATGCCTGGAAGAAACTGGCCCCTGAACTGAAATTTTATAGTTAATGCGGCCCTCGGACAGAAAAGTTTGGAGACCCATGATATAGTACATCAAAACGAATAAAGATGCTCCTATAATTTCTCAAAAACAATATAGGTTTAATTACTCTGCAAATGCCCTTAACTTTTACCCAAATTTCACCCAAATGTGTCGTTTTTTAAATTGAAAATTATGATGGGTATAATTACTTTATGGATACCCTTTAAATATATTACATAACAATACAAGCATTCTTCAGAGGCGTAGCGACCCTTCCCGGCGCCCGGGGACAAACTTTCGATTTTCACCCCCCCCCCCCCCTCAAACTTTCGATTTGCACCCCCCCCCCTCGAACTTTTGGTTTGCACCCCTCCCCTCGAACTTTTGGTTTTTGCACCCCCCCCCCCTCAAACTTTCAATTTGGCGCTCCCCCTAAGGTCGGCGCCCGGGGACATATGTCTGTCCCCCCCGCCCCCCCCCCTCGCTACGCCTCTGGCATATTTACTTCAAAGATACCATTGCAGTGTATACAAATAAATATGGACATAATTACTCAACGGATCTCTTTGAAAAGTAGTATAACGAATATGGGCATAATACTTTAAAGACGCTCCTACAGTGCATAGGAATTAATAGGCAAAAGTATTCTAAATGCCCCTACACTATACTAAATAAATATCAGATACACACTTTAATATAAAGACCGCATTTATTAAAGAAACATTAATAACTATATACATACTAAAGCCATATTTTCCCATAAAAGTGCTATACAGTGATAGACGATTGAGTATTACAATTTGTTTTGGGTGAGATTAGTAAATAAATCAATCAATCAGCAGTCAGTGTGGAGACAGATAAAAAATGATGACACAATGACACAACATACCTCAACTTTTTTCAATTACAAAAAAAAAAAATATTCACCCCCCATCGAATGCCCAGGGCCTAGGCCCCGTCCGGCTCCCCCCCCCCCCCCGACCCCCCTCTGCTGCATGCCACTGCTTGTGCTATTTACATTCCTAACTTTTTGTTCTCCTATTTTTGTCAGTAATTTAAATCTAGATCTAGATTAGATTCTAGATCTAAGTCAATCGAGGAACAATGATTTAAGTATTTTATTTCACAGTGCAGAGCTCTTTTTGTAGCATCAATGGAATAAAGTTATAAACTATAAACATACCAGATCGGGTGATTAGGTTATTCTCTCTTGAACGATTAAAATGTTTGCTAGTATCTAATTTAAAAGTATTCTGAATTTATTTCCATATTGAATAATACTAGATCTAGATCTGGATTCTACATTGTATGTACAAAGAAAACGAATGGAAAGCAAATATTTTCTTATTCTATGATTTCCGGTGCGACAGATGGTGCGAAATGATTGTTTTAAAAAAACTAAATAAAATAAACCGGGAGTGATCTCCCCTAAACTTTCTCGAATATTCTAATATAAAACTACGAGGGATGGCAACTCAGGACATAGACAATATTTGTAATCCATTTTTAATTACATAAACTTTTTATAATAGAATAGAATCCCGTAAAAAAAATAATTGCACACCAAGTGAACGCCTAATAAAATGTGCATAATCAGTGGTGGAACTAGAAAAAAAAGGCCCCCCGCAGAATTTTTTTTGGGCCCCTATATATATATATATATATATATATATATATATATATATATATATGGAAAACAAGGGTCACTCTAAATTTAAAAAAAAAATTCACGAATAAATGAGCTCACACACACACACACACACACACACACACACACACACACACACACACACACACACACGGACAGAACTGCAAAGCCTACACAGAGACATACGGACAAGATTGCAAAACTATGTTTTTCTTACTCAGTGAGGTGTAAAACGCCGAGATTTGCGAAAATCACGATTTTTTACTTTATTTTTGCACGATTACAAGACTTTCTCTATACTTCGTAAATACGAAAAAGTAAAAAAAAAACTCTCGCATTCTGTTGTGAATCTAGATCTAGATCTACGTGCCAAGATATGTTTAGAGCATTTCTATCTTTTAAATAGAACTTTCTCGAGTATACTTATATAAGACAACGGGGGAAGGCAACTCGGGATATAAACATGCTTTTTAAAAAAAAATTAATTACTTAAACTTTTAAAAATAGAATAGAATATGGTAGAACAAAAAATTGCGCATCAAGTGAACAGCAAAGAATGTGTGTATAATAGTGTGCGGAATAATAGTACTTTGTAAATTCATATGCGTTATTTTGAGAAATCGGAAATAGTCTAAAGTACTACTTCCGGAATTCGGAAATACTCAAAATTTGACTGTAGACATAGAATTAGATCTTTTCCATAGGTGAAATTTTGTCTATCTTAACCAGTAATCAAGTTATAGGCTTATGAAAATCCAAAAGTATAATAAGTTTGTAATATATTGAGAATTGTGAAGTCAAGGGAACTCACTCTTGTCAGTGTTTCAATCTACCTCAATTGGCGACGAGGATAAATCAATCCACTAGAAAGAGCACCTGCTTACTTAAAAAGAAGTTTGCTAGAGCATATTGGCTAAGTATTTCTAGGATAATGGCGCTGTATGGCCAAATAAAAGAATTTGATTCGAATGATGAAACCATTCATGATTATCTAGATAGGTTAACCTATTACCTTGAAGCTAACGACGTGACGATAGAAGCCAAAAAGAGAGCTGTTTTGTTAACAGTCATAGGGCCTCAACAATTTAGGCTATTAAAGGACTTATGCGCACCAGCTAGTCTAACTACCAAGAGCTTTAACGAGCTGAGCAAACTGCTAACAGACCACCATGCGCCCGCACCATCGAAGTTCCTGTGTAGAGCCAGCTTTGACGGTAGGACTCGTCAACCAAACGAATCAATATCAGAATATGTTGCTGCTTTACGTCATCTAAGTGAATTTTGTGAATTCGGAGACACGCTGTCAGAAAGACTATGTGAAAAGTTTGTGATAGGTGTAAACAGCCCTGATGTTCAAAGAAAGTTGTTTCTCGAGTCAGATCTAACATTGGAAAAAGCAATACAACTTGCAACTTCATTCCAGCAGTCATCCGAGGCGGCAAGATCTCTAACGCCCTCAGGGATCCATGCAGTAGACAGCAGGTTAGTCAACAAACACCAACCACATCAGAGCATTTCAACTTATGCTAAACAGCCTGCACGTTCAAATCCTAGATCTAAATCTAGTAATAATTATCAAAAATGTCATCGATGCAACGGTCCCCATGCATCTCATCGATGCAAGTTCAAGTCAGCAACTTGTTATAAGTGCAGTAAGCAAGGTCACATTGCCAAGGCCTGCTTTGCAAAGTCTTCGTCTGTTGCTAAATCTAGCCAGTCAGGACAGTACCGCAACCAAAGGCAGTACTATGTTAACTCTCACCAAGACTACCTAACCAAACCAATGAACCACTCTACCTGTGAAAATGCTCAAACTGATTTGCAGCCGGAGTTCAACCTGTTCTCTGTGAAATCAATAAGTCATGCTCCCATCAATGTACCAGTTTATATCAACGGTAAGAGCATCATCTTCCAACTTGACACTGGAGCATATCTCTAACTGTCATCACAAAGAAGGACTTTGACGCTGTCACAGGAGGATCAGTGCCTCTACAACCATGTCACAAGTGCCTAACAACATACACAGGTGACAATGTTCCGGTAATAGGAGAGTGTATGGTTCATGTAAGTTATAATGGTCAAAGTGTTAAACTTCCTCTTCTTGTGGTTGAAAGGAATGGACCACCATTACTAGGTAGGAACTGGTTAGTTGATCTTAAGTTAAACTGGGAGAGTATATTTTCAGTGAACAAAGCAAGAGAATCTAGTTTTACTTAAATAGATAAAGTAGTATCTGAAAATGAAGGTGTTTTTGGTAGTTCAGGATTACTAAATGATAGGACAGTGAAGATAAGCATTAAAGACACAAATCCAAGATACTGCAAAGCTAGAGTTCCACCTTATGCAATGAGGGATAAAATTGAAAATGAGCTAAGTAGATTGGAATCTAATGGCATCATAAAGAAGGTAGACTATTCCGATTGGGCAACGCCCATTGTGCCAGTGTTAAAGAAGGATGGTTCTGTAAGAATTTGTGGAGACTATAAAGCTACACTGAACAAGCAAATAGAGCTAAATAGGTACCCTATTCCTAACATTTAGGAAATTTCTTTGAATTTGGCAGGAGGAGACAAATTCACTGAATTAGACTTTAGTCATGCTTACACTCAACTAGAACTGCATCCAGATTCAAAAGTCTATACGACAATAAACACACATAAAGGACTCTACCAATATGAAAGACTATGTTTTGGTATATCATCCAGCCCTGGAATTTTCCAAGCTGTCATGGACAGTATTTTTAAGGATATTCCAAATGTTTGTGTTTACTTTGACAATGTGTACATAACTGGTAAGAATGACACTGAACATCTTAAAACACTTGATAAAGTCTTGAAAATAGTTGGTGAAAAAGGTTTAAAGATAAACAAAGATAAATGTCAATTCATGCTGACAGAAATTAGTTTTCTTGGTTACATTTTGAGCAAGCAAGGTCTCAGACCTCAACCAGAGAAAACAAAAGCCATTAAAAAAGCACCCAAACCTGAAACTACCCAACAACTAAGAGCTTTTTTGGACTTAATAAATTACTATGCGAAGTTCATAGGGAATCTGTCTGGTAAACTATCACCACTGTATAAGCTGCTGCAGAAAAATGCAACTTGGCACTGGGGTAAACAACAAGATGCTGCTTTTAATACAGCAAAAGAAGCTTTGTCTTCTGACACCTTACTAACTCACTATGACCCAGGGAAAAGACTTATCTTAACATGTGATGCTTCACCAGATGGTGTAGGAGCAGTCTTATCCCACATAGATGAAAATGGTGACAGACCCATTGCTTTTGCCAGTAGATCTTTGAACCAGGCTGAGAAAAATTATTCTCAGTTAGATAGGGAAGGCTTAGGCATCATTTTTGGTGTTAAGAAATTTCATAAGTTTCTGTTTGGTAGGGAGTTCACCATCTTTACAGATCATAAACCATTGCTAGGTTTATTTGGGGAAAACAAACCCCTACCTGAGCATGCCTCACCAAGGATTCAAAGATGGGCTATCACACTAACTGCATACAATTATGAATTGAAATACAAACCTGGATCTGAGAATAGTGCAGATAGTTTTAGTCGTTTACCTTTAAAAAACCAAAGCCTTAGTTATGTACCAGAAGATGTATTTGTTCTTTTCACTGTCATGGATAACTCCAATATAAATGTGAATGATGTTAAGAGAGAAACACAAAAAGATGAGTGCTTGATAAAAGTATATGAGTACTGTAAGAATGGTTGGCCTCAAGAGTCTGTGAATGATGACTTAAGGCCATATAAAATAAGAAAAATGGAATTAAGTCTAAAAGATGGAGAAGATGCAGTCCATTATCAGTCAGAGTTGCCTAAAAAAGTATTTGTAGCTTAATAAATGATTATGGTAATATGGCAATTTCAAATGCTTTTAAAGAGAATACATTAGTAAGAAGGAATGTGATCATCAAACAACTTTGCTAACATCATTAGCACTTACAGAAACTAAAAGGGTAACATCAAAAGAAAAAAAAGATTTTTGCCATTTAATACACCCACTTCAATTACTGGATCACAGTTGCAAATTGATATGGTCCAGGATAGTACTTTTAAACAGTATTTTTGGTTACCAAAAAGCACTATCAGATTACCTGAGAAAATTGATCAATCAAAGAAATCTATGTCAGTTAAGGATCTGAATTATAGCATAATACTTTCAGATGCCAATTCAAAAATAGTTCCATTAAATCATGACAAAACATCCATTGAGAGAGAATTTGGAGTAAATGATGATGTGTATCTGAGAAATTATGGGAGAGGGGACAAATGGATACCAGGTCAAATTGTTCAATGTACAGGACCTGTGTCTTATAAAGTAAAAACAAATGATGGACTTATTGTCCGTAGACACGCAGACCAGTTAAAAATAACTTGTGCAGATAATAAGTGTGAATCTGTCAATCCCACCAAATCTGAACAGTTCACACCAACTCAGTTTGTTCCACAACCAAGTTCTGTTGATATGAGTGAACCAAGTGGTCTAGAGTCAGAAAATGTAAATTCTGGAATTAATGATTTAGATCCTAGACCTCCTGAGATAGAGAATCCGGATGGTCAGAATCTTGAGTCACCAAATCAAAAGCCACTGAGAAGGTCAAGCAGGACAATCAAAGTCCCAAATAAGTTAGACCTATGATTTTAAAGGTCAAAA